CTATAACAGAGTAAATCTGCTCCATAGTTGAGAAAGTAGCCATTGTTTACCTAGAATGCTCCTCTACAAAGCATTTTGCCAATATGGACTCAATCAGCCTTTTGATGGAACATTCTTTTTCCAATTTCACAGAGTCTTAAACAGGCAGGGAGAGGTGAGGTCACTTACCCTTGGAGACTAACTAGCTGCGATTCATTCTAAATGTCAAATACTCCATGAACATTATTTCATTTAATCTTCACAATGAGGCTTTGAAACAAGAATGTTTACTAGCCTCATTATACAAAAGAAGAAAGTGAGGCACAAAGAGGGAAGGTCCCTTGCCCAAGGTCACAAAATTAGTACTCAGCAGAGTTGGGCCCAAGTTTCTGGTTCAATTTCAGGCCTGACCACTGCAAAACTGAAGGAAGATATTCCTTCTCATGTTTCTTTAAAATGTATTTCCCCGACTTTCACAAAGCATAATCTTCTACAATAGCATTAAAGAACTACAAAAACACTATTTTTCTTAAATGCTACAATTTATTTAGAATTAAACATTAATTAGGCTCTGAAAAACCTTGCTAATTGTTAACTTGCTGATTATTTTATTACCCCATCCTTTTTTGTGGGGGTGGAGGGTGGGAGGCAGGGATTACTGGGGATTGAACCCAGGGACACTTAACCACTGGCCACAACCCCAGCCCTTTTATTTTTGAGACAGGGTCTTGCTAAGGTGCTTAGGGCCTTGCTAGGTTGCTGAGGTTTATTAACCACTATCACCATAGCTTGGCCCTCTATCTCTCTAATGATGCCAGTTTAGAGATATATCTCTGTCCAATGCAAATTAGTTGGGGAAATAATAGGATCTTAGACCTGTACTGTCCAACAGAGTAGCCACTAGTCACTACGGGTACTATTTATATTTAAATTCAGGCTATAATCCCAGGGAGGATCCCAAGTTCAAAGCCAGCCTCAGCAATTTAGTGAGACTCAAAATTTTAAAAAATTTAAAAAAGGGCTAGGGATGTGGCTCAGTGGTTAAGCAACCCTGGGTTCAATCCCTGGTACCAAAAAATAAAAAGGGCTAGATATATAGCTCAGTGGTAGAGGCCCTTGGTATAATATCTCCAGTACAAATATATAAATTAAAAAGGGCTGGGGAGGTAGGTTTGAGCACATGGCCTACCATGTGCAAGGCCTTGGGTTTGATTCCCCAGTACCACCCAAAAAAACTCCTAGTCATACTAATATATTTTAAGTATTCAACAGCCACATGTAGCTAAGGTAGCTCCAGTACTGAAGAGCACAGCTGTAGAATATTTCCATTATAAAAGGAAATCAATTGGATAGTGCTACCCTAAACTGGAGGAGTTTTCTAGGTTAGGGAACTTCAATTTTTTTTTTTATGTGGGGGGGGGGAGCATCAGGGATTTAACTCAGGGGTGCTTAACCACTGAGCTACATACCCAGTCCTTTTATTTTCTGAGGCAGGATCTCACTAAGCTGCTTAGGGCTTCGCTAAATTGCTGAAACTGGCTTTGAACTTATGATCTTCCTGCCTCAGTCTACTCAAATGCATGTATCACCAGGTCTGGTGCACTTTAAATTACAAATCAATACCAGGAGGTGTAGTTGGCACTATAAACCAGTCAACATGTTTTTGTATATGTACATATACATGTGAAACAAAAGCTTCTCGAAACAATACTCATCCTTAATAACATGCAAGGAACTCTGGTATTTTCTCTTAGCCTACTTCTTTCTTCCATTTAAAAAAATTTAATGCTAGCCACACCTACTGAATTGAGTTTACAATCTACTACTAGATTGACCTTCAGTTTGAAAAACGTCACTGCAAAGCACATAAGTGCTCAGAAAGATGAAACTGAAGGTTGAAACTAATGACTGCTTGATCAGACCTTGATGAATCCTGCTCTTGTTTGTACTCATTTTATAAGTCAAGAAACTGAGGCTCAGCCAGGCATGGTGGCACACGCCTGTAATGCTAGCAACATGGGAGGCTGAGGCAGGAGGATCACAAGTTTGAGTCAGCCTGGGCAACTTAGGGAGACCGTGGCTCAAAATAAAAAAATAAAAAGGACTAAGAATGTAGCTCAGAAGTAAAGTGCCCCATGTTAAATCCCCAGTACTACTACTACTACTACTACTACTACCACCACCACTACTACTACTACCACTACTACAACACACACGCACACGCACACACACACACACACAGAAAGAAAGACACACACAAACTGAGCCTCAGACTGGAAGGAAAGTAACCCCCAGGGACAAGTCTAGCTTGGTGGGGAAAAATAAAAAAACAGAGAAACCCAAGTTTTGGAGGAAAATGACCTGGGTTTCTAGTATGTATCAAACCATGGTTAAGGACTTGATTCTGAAGCAGGACAATCTAGTTAGCAGATCTAATTTCTAACTGGGTTTCTAAACTGTGCCTCTTCTGTACACTGGGTATAATAATAATGCTTACCTCAAAGGGTTAATGTGAAACAACAGTGAGATCATGTACTAAAATATTTAAACCTAATACTCTGGCTCAAAGAACAATGTATGGCATAATTATTCTAATTCCAGCCCCTTTTTTTTACTAGCTCTGTGACCTTGAGCATGTTACTTAACCTCTCTGAGCCTGCTTCCTCATCTACAGAAAGAAATAATTATTCCTGTGGTGGTAAATTGTCAGGAAGAATTTGATGAGCTTGTACATGTATTTAGAATGGTGTTTTGTAATAGGCAGGTGTCCAATATGATTCATTCTCCTACTTCCCTTTAGACATCAAGTTGTTCTGTCTAATATGACACAGCCACAGGAGGCCTCGAAAGAGGGAGCAGGAAGTCTGACTTCCAGGCCCAACTGTGCCAGTTCCTTGCTGTCAGGTGGGAATCAAGCCCTTTCACTTTCTGAGCCTCAGTTTTCTACCTATAAAGAGTAAATTGGACAGATGAAGTTCCTGATACACTCACTATAAAGAACTTAAGAAATGGGAGTAGCTGTGGTTTTGGCACTGGAACTCAAGAGGCCCAAGGGAGCTGGCAGAAGCAGCTGGGCCACTGGAGTCCTGGGGAAGGGGAGGGGCCCGGACCTTCTGTACGTGGTTGATCTCATCATGCTTGCGCTTTTGGTTTCGAGTTATCTTGCGCTCAGGCTGCTCAGCCAGCTCACTCAGGTACTTCTCCGAGTTCTTCTGTACAGCATCCTTCACTGTCTTGGTCAGTGCCAGCCGGTTCTTATCTACCCATTCGTCCAGTCGCCTGTTAACTGTTAGGATAGGCCATGAAGGTACTGTCCTGCCACTTCCTCCTCCCACCCAAGCCAAGAGGCCCCAAAGCACTCACAGCCCACATAGTGTACATAGAATTCCTCTCGGCCCTCCTGGTCATTCACTCGAGACTGGATCACTTCTGCAGAATCTGTAAAGAAAAAAGGCTAGGATTGTCAGGAAATGTTAAAACAAGAGGGATCCAAGACATTGTGGAGCAGTTTTCAGGTTTTTAGCTGTTTCCAGATTCATCTGTCCACATCCACCATTGCATTTATACCCTTCACAATCCTGAGGTGAGCCAGGTTGGAGCTGTTATTCCTATTTTACAGATGAGGAAAAAAATGAGGCTTACCCAGGGTCATAGATTTGGAAAGTGATAAGAACTGATACTTAACTGAGTTTAGCTCTGACTCCAAATTTCAATGTTCATTTTACTGTATACACTCAGTAATTCATTTGTTTGGGGGACATGAGGGCTGGCACAGCATTAACACAACCTGAGTTTTAAAATTCTTGCTCCCCATTTCCTAGCTAAGTGTAACTGAGCAAGTTGTCTTGACTTCCTGAGCCTCAGTTTCTTCACGTGGAAATAGGAATAATAGTGCCCACCTCAGAGTTAATGCCTCCAAAATTTTTAGTGCAGTGCCCCACAAATAGCATACATTCAATTAATAAAGTAACCACTGTGTGTTTGGTCCTACACTGTGTTTTTGCTGGACACAACACTGAATCACAAGAGATCTTGCCCTCCAGAAGTTCCCAGTTTGATGGGGGAGGAGTCCACAGAGGATTACAACATTATGTTACCTATTCCATGACTGAAGTATGAAAAGAATGTAGAAGGAACATACAGATGGGAACAACTCACTTTGCCTGAAGGCAGTTAAGAATGGCATCACAAAAGATACAAGCTAAAAGAATGATAGGAGAAAGGGAAGACATTCCAAACAGAGAGCAGGGTGTTAAAAGGCACATGGTTTTTGGAGCCAAGAGCATGTTCTGGTCTAGCAATGGCCTTTTTTGGGGTGGCTAGAAACCAGAGAGGACACAGAAATGAATGCCACTCTAATAATAAGTTGGAGGAGTTTATTTTGAAGATGACAGAAGATTATAGACCACAAAGGAAAAGGTGTTCTGGAAGGTCCTCTTTACTACAGGGGAAGACAGAAGGGAAAGACAGAGGCAAAAGAGACCAGTGGAAGCAGAGTTCGCAAGAAAAGAAAATGAAGGTTAATATTTAGCAAGTAAGTGGAACAGGAGTTCTGTATATACTAAGATCTTCGATATACCCTTAGTGGCTTTGTAGGAGGCACACGCATAATGAGAGAATGACAGCCTCCTTTACTGGGCTGGTTTCTCAACCCAGGCAACTCTTCTTACGTAGAAGTTCAAAGCCCCGCCCCCGCCCCGCCCCCCACAGCTAAAACCCCCAGGCTCTAGGCTTTAAGGAGAGTAAGTTCTCAAGTCACGCCCACCACACAGCCCGCCCCTGGGCCCCGCCCTCACGCCAGGTGCTATCTGGCCGCCGGCACAGGTACGTTTCTCCGATCTCCACTGTGACTTCTGGTTCGCCGCGCGCGGGCGTCGGCGGAGAGACGCGGCCCGGGGATGGGGCAGTCCCCTCGACCGCTGCATTCTCCCCGGGCCCGGGCTCGCTCTCCCCTACGACCCCCGAAGTCGCTGCTGCAACCGCTGCAGCAGCTCCCTGTGCCGCCATGGCGGTGGCGGAAGTGACCCCACAGTGTAGCGCCGCGTAGGATTTTTAGCTCCGGGTCAGCCGTGCGTGGGGGCGGAGCCTCGCGTCTGGAGGTGGGGTCTGTGATGTGGCAGAAACTAATTGGTTCCTGCGGTCTGCTCTGCTGCGCTGCTGCTGTCCGTAGGCCCGTGATGAGGGTGGGCCTGAGTTCCTGATTTTCTGTGAGGTGACAGTTTTTCCTAATGTGATGACTCAAGTTATTTTTTAAAAGGCTCTAATGCTGCCAAAATGTGTCAGTTTTCAGGGGTGCTGCCCTCGCTAATGGGACGAAGCCAGAACGGTCTCCTCGGTTGCGGAGCTTCGGGATTAAGTCTGGAATTAGCAGTCCCCCACTGCGCGGCTCAGTTGCGCAGGCTTAGTACCGGCCACCTCATATTTGAAGATTGAAGAGACTGCTTCTCTTGTTCAAGGTGGGAAAAAGACACAGTTGAGGTGGAGGAAGAACGGGTTTCCAGGGTTAGTAAGTAGCTTCAAAATAAAGGCTGCGGATACAATGAAGAGCGTCTTGGCTATAAGTTGAGGAATCTTTTGAGTTTGGCACCTCCTCGGGTAATATGACAAGTATGTAGATGCACTGAGAATCGGCAAAACTTAAACCGATGTGTGTATGTGTGTACATAGATATATACACATACATGCTTGTATATATCTCTGTATGGTTAAGCTATATAGAACTATATAAACCATAACATCTTGTCTGTATATGAAGCCGAACATTAATCTGGCGCCAGACTGCTTATTTAGCTTCACATGACCCTGGTCTTCCACAGTTATTAGTATTTTTTCTACTATTATCCTAGTGGTGATCCGCAGAAAGGCCACCCTCTCTAGCCTGATCGTTGTATAATAGGCAGGAACTACATGTGGGCAAATGAATAAATAACAATAGCCTTAGGGGAAAAAAATGATCTTTTGTCTTGTTTTGTTTAGTATCAGAGGGCATTCGACCACTGAGCCACATCCCCAGCCCTATTTTGTATTTTATTTAGAGACAGGAGTCTTGCTGATTTGCTTGAGGTCCCCACTAAGTTGCTGAGGCTGGCTTTGAACTCACATTCCTCCTGTCTCCGCCTCCCAAGCTGCTGGGATTACAGGCATGTGCCACTGCAACCGGCTACTGATGTTTGTTGAGATTTGCAGAACTAAGAAACACTAGGTGATTTGGCCATAAACCTACACCTGTGAAAAGGTGCCTACCCAGTATGTGATCACCCATCTCCTATATGATCTGCCTCTAAATTGGCTTCCTGGCAAGATGTCTCTTTAGGGATAAGAATCTCTATCATCTTCCAGCCAGCTAACTTATTAGAAAAAAAGTTCTTTACAATGGTATTTTCTCTCAACTAATTGGCTTCTGTCATGAGGCAAGCAGACTAAACCTGTGTGAGGTAGCTCATATAACAATGTATAGTGCTAGGCAGAGTAGGTACTCAATGAACATTCTCTTTAGCCATCCTTTGAAAGTTCCTGGATACAAAATTTAGTTACTGGACTTCAAAACAATTCTTAGAAGAGTAGAATTCTTGGGGCCTGAGGATGGGGCTCAGAGATTACAGCACAAGCAAAATCTAAGAGGTGTCTGTAGGGTCAGAAGTGGGAATGGCTTTAACTTAGCCTTTGTGAAATAAATGAAGGAGTTGGGGGGTGTAGTAAGAGTTCAGTGTCTGGCAGCATAAACAGAAGAAATGAGTCAGGAAGGAGTTGCTAGGTGCAGTGGTGCACACCTGTAATCCTGGATGGCTGAGGCAGGAGGATCACAAGTTCAAAGCCAGCCTCAGCCACTTAGTGAGACCCTGCCTCAAAATAAAAAATAACGGTCAGGTTGGGGAAGAACCAAGTCATAATGCTCTCTCCCATTCCAACCTATCTTTAGAATTGTTACCTCACTGATGCCTCACTTGATACTTCACCTGACATCTTCAGTTACAGATGACGTTCTTTCTAGTTAATGATTAGCCTAAGCTTTATAAATCTCTGATCAGGGTCACTGCATCAGCCTTTTCATCATGCTTCCTCCAATCCAATGGCCATTAATGATGCAAATCTGACTGTTCCTTCTGGAGCTTTGTAGGGCTGCAATTTGTTTATGTGTTTTGTTACTGGGGATTGAATCCAGGGCCACTTTGCCACTGTGCTACATCTCCAGCCCTTTTAATTTTTTGAGACAGGTCTCATCATATTGTCAGGACTGGCCCTACACTATCGCATGCCTGCAATCCCAGCGGCTCAAGAGACTGAGGCAGGAGGATTGTGAATTCAAAGCCAGCCTCAGCAATTTAGCAAGGCCCTAAGCAACTTAGAAGACCCTATCTCAAAATAAAAAACAAAAAGGGCTGGGGATGTGGCTCAGGGGTTGAGTGCCCCTAAGTTCAATTCCTGTTTTTTTTTAAAAAAAGGCCTTAAACTTGTGATCCTCTTGCCTCAGCCTCCTCAAGTCACTGGGATTATAGGCATGTGCCACTGCACCCAGCCCAGTTCCTGAGATTTTTTTAATTTCTGTATGTCCAGATTACCTGCACTGTCCTTCCAAAGGCTAGCACCTGAGGCTCTTTGACAACTGTCTGAGGTCTTGCCTGAAAAAGCTGAAAACAATTTTCAACCCAAGTTTAAATTCTTTCCTACCCCCACTTCCCAACACAGACTTTAACCATTAACTATCAAGTGGAGGAATTAATGAGTGGAGCTTAACTCTCTTACTTTTACCTTAAGGCATAATTTACTGGCCCTGGACTTTAGCCCAAGATCACATCCTTGCTCGGTTTCTCCCCTTCTTTCCTGCCTCTCCTACTCCCTTTTGGGAGACACTTTCTTTACAAATCACTTGGACATAAATCCTCCTCTCAGGGTCTGCTTTTAGGGAATCCAAAGTAAAACATCCCTTCCTAGCATAAAACCCACCAATGGATCCCTACTGCCTCCAGGGTAAAGCCTATGCTTCAAGGCCCTACACCTTTTGGTTGCTGCCTCTCTCTCCAGTTCTACCTTTTGCTCTGCAGCCAGCAGGAATTTCAGCATACCAAGGCATTGTGGTTTCCCACCATCTGCCACTTGCTGTCTCCCCTTAGTCTCCCAGCTCCATCACCCTATAGGGTAGGAGATGATATAGGCCTACAGCCTCAGGAAGTTAGCTGTCAGGGCTCAAATGTGAAGTCAAGAGAAAGAGGTCCAACTCTTCTCCCCAGTCCCACCAGGCAGCCTCTCCGGCCTTTCTTCCCTGACAAAGGAGGTAGGATGCTCCCAACTGAGACTTCACTGGAGTTACTCTTCTCACAGGAAGTTCTGCCTCAAGTGTAACACTGAGCCCTCTTGTTATCTGGAGTCCTTTCCTTTTTCCCAAGTCCCTAACCCTTGCTACTAGGGCCCCACCTTCCTCTGTGGTGGGGCACCAAGTCTCTGCTGAGGCCTGCCAGGACACAACCTTGTGTTCCTTTCTTGGCAGCCACAGATGCAGCTGGCAGGTGGTATTTTTAACCTTACTCAGGCACAGGCATCAGGTGGCTCTGGGGATTGCCCAGTCTGGTGACCTTCACCTCTAAAATCTGTGACTTCCATGAAGGGAAGAGTCAGAACTCTGCATTTACCTAGGCCTTCAAAATTGGCTGGGACCCAGAAACACTTGTTAAATGAGATGAATGAAAAATCTTTGGTTAAGCTGCCCTCACTCCTGCCAAATCAAACCAGGAGACTTGGGGCCAATTGTACCCCTGTCTACCAGGTTTCAGAACAGTTAGAAACTGGGACATGAACCAGTTAAACCCAAGAACTCAGGGAATCTGAAAGGGGACAGAAATGAAAGTTTGCCCACCCTCCCCATACACAGGGCCCAAGAAGGCATTCAAAATGTGAACTTTAATAACAAATAACATGTCAAAGTAGGGGTTCCCCAGGAACAAGAATGACAGAGCTGTTGCTAGAGGCCTCAGAGGTCCCTGTTTCCTCCCCTTCAAGGCTGGGGGCAAGGAAGTAGTGAGCTCTCTTGAGAAGGAGTGGCACCCAGTTCCATGTAGGTCCATCTGTCTTGTCTGGGGCCCTAAGACCCAAGATGCAGCAGTATGTGGAGCAGAGTGTCACCCTGCCTGACCCAAAGGTCCTGGCAAGGAGTGTGACCCAGCTTGGGCAGGCAAGCAGGCCAAAGGTTGTACAGTCAGATTCGGAAGCTTTCCTCCCGGCCATCGATGTGGCGGAGCCGCAGGTAGACATCTGTGCCAATGCCCTGCAGGGACTGCAGCTGCAGGGAACCACCGAGGTACTCGGCGTAGGCCCGTGATGTGGGCAACCCGAAGCCAAAGCTGGGGGTAGGCAGGGAAATAGAATAGGGAGCTTCAGAGGCCTGAGTTCCCTTGGGTTGTTCCCCATCCCCAGTTGTGGAGGCGGGTGGGGGAGCCTCACCCATGCATGGGTCCTGACTGGCCACCACTGTGCATGTCCAGGTGGCCGAAGAGTGGGCTGATTCGGGGGTCCTGGGTGCTGGCCTCAGCTGTAGTGAAGTGGTAGTCCATGACCCTATCCAAGTCTTTGTGAGCAATGCCTCCACCCCGGTCTGAAATTCTGGCAGGGTTTCAACAACATGGGCTCAGCTCAGGTTTGATAGGGTCTTACTACCACCCAAGGAAAGAGTGCTAAATTTGATTTCCTGTTCCTTACACCCCAATATGGAATGTGGTCCACCTTGACCCTTGGGCCTTGTTTGTTTAACCAACTGTTCTCCATCCTCACCTTTGCCTGGGCCACTGCCTGCTTATACCTTCTCAACGGATTTGATATTTATTCTTAGCCCAGCCTCAAAGACTGGTTTCCCCATTCTAGGGCCCTCAGTTACTGATAGAGGCAAGGTCCTGGGAACCATAGCTGGCTGTAGATCCATTAATATCCAGTTCATGGCAATCTGAGAACCAAATAATATCTTTTCTGACCAGGGTCCAAATCCCAAAGAGGGGCAGGTACTGGCTCAAGGTTCTACAGCAAAACTGTAAACTGCCTGGAACCCCCATCCACCCAGCCCAACCCCACTCAGGACAAACCTGATGATGAGATCAATATCATTGTTGGCAATGGTGATGACCACATCTGGAACGTTGTAGGGAGTGTCTAGGTGGCTTTCCATTGTGGCTCTATGCAGGAAGGAAAGATTAGTAGGAGGTGGCACCACAGTTCCTATCTGGCCCCACCCAGTTGATCCAGCCTGCCCACCTCATGGCATTCTTGAGCAGCTCGGGCAGGATATAGTCTAACGGCATAGGAATGAAGGGGAAACGGGCAGCCACATGTCCATTGATGCGAACTCGGGGTGCATTGCCATACTTATGCTCACACAGGCGTCTGTGGATAGGAAAAGGGTTCAGATAGGAGCCCATAAAGTAGTGGTTCTCAACTGGAAACTAGTCTGCTCCCAAGGGACCTATGGAAGTCTGGGGAGAGAATTTTGCTCCTCACAACTCAGGGGTATCAAGTCAGTAGAAGCAAGGGTTCCTTCTAAACATCTTAACATGATTAGGACAGCCCCCCACTACAAAGAATTATCTAGCTTAAAATGTCAACAGTGCCAAGGTTGAGAACCCTAACCTAGATGATGCCCCAGGCAAGGGCTCAGAACTAAGAGTTCCCTGCCCCAAGACACCCATCCCTTCAGCCATTCTAGCCTCACCTGGCAAAGTCCACCCACTTTTCAATAATCTTCTTTGGTGAGAGACGAGTACAGATGATGCCAACAAAGTCGGGCTGGCAGGAGAAAGAAGGTCAGGACTAGCAACACCTCCAACCCCACCTTGGCGGCCAAATGCCTGCAACTCTGGAATGCCAAAGCAGCCCCAAAGCCTCTCCCCCATGACTTTGGCTTAGGTTCCCAGCCCAAGGGGGGACCTGGCTCATTTTCCTCTCCTCACTTGACCTTCCCAGGCAGGTCTTGGGTTCCAAAGCCCCACCTTATCCTCGTGTAGCGCCAGGTGATGAGTGGCCAACATGCGGATCCCAAGCCTTGAAGTCAGTGTCTTGTCCAAGAAGTAGCGGACGAGCTTTTCATCCTGTAAAAAGCATGACTTCTGAAACCTCATGCTCTTTCCCAGTGCCTTTAATTTGCTAGGCCCTTACTTTGCTGCCACTGACCTCTATGTGCTTTCGGCTCTCACGCAGGCCTTCAGCTAACAGGGTCACTACATCTTTGTGGTCATCTAGCAGCTGTCGCACAAGCTGGCAGTATTGGGCCTCATCTGCCTGGTCTTTGATCTGCAGGTCACAGATTCATAAGCACAGGTGGTCCAACCCTGGTGTCTTAGTCCCTTACCGCCCTGCTCTGCCCAGCCTCACCGGAGGGAAGTCTGTCAGCTTCTGGAAAGCACGGATATACAGCTCATGCTGCAAGGAAGAAGTATGGGAATTCACAGGGCTGCTACCGGCACTGGGTAGAGAACAGCCATCCATGCGTGCCCATCTGGTTCACCACCCAACCCACTTCAAATGGTTCCAACCCCCACTGTGACCTTTCCAACCTCTATCAATATGTAGCTTTACCTTCAAAGGCTTGGGTTGAGTCCTGTATGGCCCTGACACAGCAGGCAAGTCTGCCATTCTGGGCCCCAGGCTCCCTACTGAACCCTTGGGTGGTATGCACACTGATCAAAGATCCTGTCTACCTTACCACATGCAGTATGGTGGGGTTGCAGCCAATGATAAAAGGAAGGCTGCGGAAGCCCTTGATGCGGTGAGCAATCCTCACTGGTAGCTCCTGCTGCAGGTACCGGCCACTTTTCTATAAGAGGGCAAACAAGGCCAAGACCTGAGTGGCTGCCCTGAGCTCCAGGAGCCAAAGGGGAAACAGGGATCAGCAATCTTACCAAAAGGTGACTGCCATCCTGGGAGCGGCCAGAATAGAGCATCATGGTCGGAGTGAGGCGGACTGAGGGCTGAAGATAGATGGACCTTGAGCACTGGACCTCCAACATCCCTTCCCCACCACATAGCTCCTCGTTCCCTGAACACCTACTCCAGCACTTGACCCCTGCTAACCATCAGCACTGCGCACCTTCTCCGCTGCCACATCGATGACTGATTGATTGTAGAAGGAAGTGACCGTCTTGGAGCGCTCCCGTGCCATCTCCACATGGTGTGTATCCGTGGCGGATGTAGAATGGGCCCGTATGGAGAGTGACAGCCCCAAGAGAGGCCGAAGTGAAGGCCCAGCCCGAGGGCTGCTCCCAAGCACCGACGCCAGTATCATCGTCCTGCTCTTTTGTCAGACTAGTCTGTTACCAGGCCTGAGCACCCAACAGATGGAGGCGACCCCAAAACGGGGCAAACAGTGTGGGTGGACAGAGGTCTTTCTCTGACTTCAAGGGTGAGGATCCGTCGAGGATGCTGACCAGCTCAGCCCCAGGAGAGTATCTCCCATCTACCAGAGCAGGGTAAAGTGGACTTGTAAGGATCCGAATTCAGAAGACCTGCACCACTTCTCCACATGAGCACCGGTATCCTCAAACCTAAGCAATCTCTAGCCAGCCCTTCAGTCACCTCCCCAAACACAAGTTAAGCCTAGTCAACCTTGCTTTCCGGAGGTCCTATTCAATCTGAGGCTCTACCTGATGGTCTGGGGAGTCAGGCGAAGAACTCAAACCCATCCAGCCCAAAACCTCGCCCTGGCTTCCTCAGGTACAGGGGGCGGGGCTGACCCCTACCCAGCGCGGTCAGACCCGGGCCCCAGGAGCCAGGCCTGAGTACGTGCGACACAGCACTGTGAGCCAGAGAGCCAGCTGCGTAGAGGCTACGGACCGGGAGTCCCCATCTGAGTTTACCCCTCAGCGAGGTTTCTTGGTTCGGCCCGGGTCCCCCCCATATGGTAGATGGCAGCCCCTCGCCCATGCGCACTCCAGCGCAAATGGTGGCGGCTGTGGACGCGTGCTGCGCAGCCTTAGCCCGCAGGTCTATGCAAATATTCCACTTACCGCGGGGCTAGAGCCAGGGCCCGGGTCCGAGCGGAACCGCCCTGTAGACCAACGCGGCTACCCAAGCTGCCTGCGCCCTCTGCCGCTGCGACGTCGCGTGGGCTGTGGGCGCCCGATGCCTCCTGGGAGTTGTAGTTTGCTGCTGAGGACTCACAGCGGGGGCTCCAGTCCATTCTGGCTACATCCCGGTTTCCGGACCACTTGATAAATGGAGCTCCCTCCCGAAATTACCTGTGGCCTGTGGACTCTATTTTCTGCTTTATAAAATGGGCTCCCTCGGGGCTGGAATTGTGGCTCAGTGGTAAAGCGCTCGCCTAGCGCGGGCGAGGCCCTGGGTTCGAGCCTCAGCACTACATAAAAAAATAAAAATAAAAGTATTGTGTCCATCTGCAACAAAATATATATATATATTAAAAAAATAAAATAAAATAAAATGGGCTCCCTGGGCCCGGCGCGGCGGCGCACGCCTGTAATCCCAGCGGCTCAGGGGGCTGAGACAGGAGGATCGCGAGTTCAAAGCCAGCCTCAGCAATGGTGAGGCGCTAAGCAACTCAGTGAGATCCTGTCTCTAAATAAAATACAAAATAGGGCTGGGGATGTGACTCAGTGGCCAAGTGCCCCCTGCGTTCAACCCCTGGTACAAAAAAAAAAAAAAAAGATGTGAGGGGATACCTGGGAGCAAAACGCTAGTAAGGAAAGACTCTTAGATGTCAAGCATACAGATTAAACCCTACCGGTTTCCCTGAGGTCTTATCCTTCACTTTTCAGCTCTCGACTCATTCATGGGAAAGTAAACTGCGTGATTCGAACCCCAGCTCTGCCCCCTAATACTTGAAACAAGTTAGTTAACTGCTGGGTGCTTTAATTTTGGTATTGGTAAAATGAGGATGTATTATTCAAGCGGGGTGACTGTGGAAGCTAAAGTAGGAGGATCGCAAATTCGAGGCCAGCCTCAGCAATTTAGAGCAGCCCTAAGTAACTTAGTGAGACCCCTTCTCAAAATTTAAAAATAAAAAGGACTGGTGGTGTAGTTTCATGGTAAAGTGCCCCTTGGTTCAATCCCCAATACATAAATAAATAAAGGATTATTAATCCTGGGGTTGTTGTGTGGATTACTTCAATTTATAAATGTAAAGTGCCTAGAATAATGCCAGGTATGGAATTAGTACTGTACAAGTGTTATGTATTATTAATAATATTCCTGCCTATAGTGAGTGCAAGTCATCCTGACTGGGTGATTTTCTGTGCCAGGAAAGATTGGGTAATGAATCAAATAAAAAGACCTTCCTCTACCCTGAAGAGGAAGACAGTTCTGGTGCAGTCTGCTGTCAGGATAGCCTGGGGCAGGGTGGGGGGGCATGGGGGGGTGAGAGCACCAGGTAAGAACTGGGACATTGGTATAGGTTCAGCTTGAGTAGGATTTGGCTAGGGAAGGGAGCAGGGAGCGAAAGCAGAAAAGATGTAGCGGGATAGAGGAACAGCCTGGATGACCTGAGGATATGACTGGAACCACAGTAGAATATGAGAAGGTTGAGTGGGCCGACCAGAAGCTCAGGAAGGATAAGAAGTCTGCAGTTGTCCTGAGGAACACTGAAGGATTTTAACTGTGGGCTCTGGGTCTCTGCTCCTTAGACAATGAATGTGAATGTGGGGGGTTGGTGAAACCAAAGGCAGAGAAACCAGGGAGAAGATAATTACTTTATCTCAGGCAAGAAGTGCTGGGAGAGGGGTGTGAGTGTATGTGTGTATACTGATTTTTTTTTTAACTGTGGCTATATATTTTCTAAATATTTTTAAATTTTTAACAAGAGAGTGCTACACGAGGGGTAGTGGTGCATGCCTGTAATCCCAACTACTCCAGAGGCTGAGGTAGGACTCCATCTCAAAATAAAAAGAGCTGCAGATATAGCTTAGTGGTAGAGTGCTTGCCTAGCATGCACAAGCCTGAGTTCAATCCCCAGAACTACAAAAAAAAAAAAAAGTAAATTAATTAAAATAATGTGTGAAAGGAAGTAGGGGACCTCTTGGGAAGCTGTCTTTAAACTTGGGAGTTGGGAGTCCTCACCATGATTGGCCTGCCTGAGAAATTAGGGAAAGGTCTCCATAGACCTTGGGAAAGAATCTCTGAATCTCTGGCTTTCCTCCCAGCTCCCTACCCCCACATGGTACCTTCCCCTTCCTAACTTCCTGACAACATTGTGGAGTAAAGCCAGGAGGCATTTAGATGTGCAGGCAGGCACTGCTTTAGCACGTGGAAGAGGGAGAGGGAAGGTGTTTCTGGAAGGGAGGGCAGCCTGAGCAAATAGCAAAGAACTCGGAGTACTCCTTGTGCGCCAGAACTTGGCGCTCACGTGCCCGTGGCGTGGGCTGGAGCCGCGGGAGGCGGTGGCTGTGACTGCCAGGGAGGCGTGTAGCGTCTGGTAACTGCCTCACCCCATTTGACCCGGCGCATTTACCAGAGCTCCGCCAGAACTCGCTGCTGCCCCCAGTGGTGAAGATTGGCCATGAACCACCCAAGTCTCGGTTAAAAACAGTGTTGGTTAAGCATTACTGTTTTGATTTTTCCTAGTGGTGATTGAACCCAGGGGCGCTTTACCATTGAGCTACATCACCAGCCATTTTTATTTTTTATTTTGAGACAGGTTAGGGCCTCAGTAAGTTACTAAGGGTGGCCTTAAATTTATTACCCTCTTGTGACAGCCTCCTGAGCCGCTGGGATTACAGGCTTGGGCCACTGTGTCAGGCGTGTGCCCAGCTGTCTTAGGCGGGTTTTAATGTATTGTTTTCATCTTTATATCCATCCTCTTGGGAAGGTACCATTATTGTCATCGTTTTACAAATGTAAGGACTGAAGCACAGAATGATAAAAAGACTACTCCTGCAACACACACACACACAAATTCTGCTCCAGCCACACCAGCGTCCTTGCTGTTCACTGAACAGAGCAGGCAAGTTTAACTTCAATGCCTCTTGCTGGCTGTGTGCTCGTCTGGAACACCCTTCCCTTAGATACCCATAGAGCTTGTTCCTCACCTCCTTAAGCTGTGCTGTCAACCGAATGAAACCCACCCTGCCCATCCTAATTAAAATTCCAGTCTTCTCCATACCCTATTCTGCTCTACTCTTTACCCATAGCATTTATCACTAATAACAGTATTGAAGCCAGAATTAGACAGGCAGTCAGTGTAGATAGGTAAATCGAGTCAGGTCAGATCAAGGAGGCCAATTTTTTTTTTATACAATACTTTTATTTTATTTATTTATTTTTATGTGGTGCTGAGGATTGAACCCAGGGCCTTGCACATGTTAGGCGAGCATTCTACCACTAAGCCACAACTCCAGCCCCAAGGAGGCCAATTTTGAGTGAGTCGGGAAGTTGAAGACTGTCCCTTGAGAGATTGAAATGTTAATTCCTTCAGAGCCCTTCCTCCACCCTTATCAAGAACCTGCCCCTGCTCCAACCTGTTGCCAAGGTAACCTGTCCCAGGAACTGCCCCTTCCTACAGGGAGCTATAAGGTTGTTACTGCCCTTCCCCCTTCAGCCCACCTTTTCCCCCACCTTTGGGACATCCCACCAAGCATTCCTGGGCCTAGTCCTGGGCCTAGTCCTGTATGCAGGAAGGAGAAAGATAAGGAGGAAAAGGCAGGAGAACAAAGGACATATAAAAAGGGCAGAACACCTCACTTCTTGGGATACCAGGATGCCAGCTATGGCCCTCTTCTCCCTCCCGGGAGAAGTTTATGTTACCCTATTTAAATAAACCCTGCTTTATATGCCTCTGCTTGCTTCTCTAATGTTCAAACTTCAACATGTGGGGAGGCAGGACTCATCACCGATAACCGACGGTATCACTATCTCTACACACGTACATATATGTATGTGTATATATATATACACACACATATGTATATGAATGTATATAGTGTGTGTGAAGTACTAGAGATGAACAACCCAGGGTCTCACCCTGGTAGGCAAGCATTCTGCCCCCAAACTACACCCCAGCTCCTGTACTTATCATTATTAATTGCACATTTCCCCCTTCTTTTCAACAATATAAGAGCATGAGTATTTGCCTTCTTTAATTATTTATTTCAACATCCTAATAGTAATTCCTGGCACATAACAAGTGCTTAAAAAACATTTTTATTTATTTATTTATTATTTTGGTACTGGGGATTGAATCCAGGGGTGCTTAACCACTAAGCCACATCCCCAGCCCTTTTATTTTTTATTGTGAGACAGGGTCTTGCTAAGTTGCATAACGCCTTGCTAAGTTGCTGAGGCTGACTTTGAATTTGTGATCCTTCTGCAGCAACCTACCAAGCTGCTGGGATTATAGGCAGGTGCCATTGTGCCTGGCAGTCATGAACATCTTTGAAGACTATTATTCTGCCTACCACAATCTCTAGAGTAAGAGGAATGGATCTGAGAAAGAGCAGTCACATAGGGAGGAGAACCAGCAGGAGAGTGAAATATCACAGAAGCAAAAGGAGGAGAGTTCCCGGGAGGGAGTGCTTAACAATGACTAATACTATTGGGAAGGCAAACAAGATGAGACTTGAAAAATAACCATTGGACTTAGCATCCTGGTGACAACCACCTCTAGTTGTCAGGGGAGTGTTTGATGGAGGAGCTGGTTTATGATATGGGCAATCAAAGAATAAGTGAAGAAGCAGAGACTAGAAACATAAAATATATTTCCAAAAACTGGACTGTGAAGGGGAGGATGAGGATCATAAGGTGGATAGGAGAGGGAGTGGTGATTCAAAACTCCTGGCTAAGGGAAACTTGTTGCTGTTTCTAAACAGGAAAGAGAAACAAGTTTGTATGAAGATGAAAAGGGTGGAGAGGTTGAAAGGGAGATGGGACGACTGTAAAGGGGAGCTTAGATAGGAGAGACTGTTGGGTTGACCCCTGCTCAGGCTTTGCTAGGAAGATGCTAAAATAGTGGAGAGTTTAGAAAAGTATCAAAGGTGTGGACACCCTTAATGGAACTTGAGAAAGTGCTAGTGAGGTAGGAGGGAATGTCTAAGCAACCTCAGGCAGGAAGGATATAGCCTGAAATATTAGTTTTAAGGGACATGCTTGCTTCCTGAATGTGATGGCAGAATCGCTGAATTCCAGAGTCCACTGAAAGTGCCAATGTTTAGAACAGGGCTTGGCATAGAGAAAACGCTAAACTTGTGTGTGTGTGTGGGGGGGGGGCTGGGAATTGAACCCCGGGCCTCCAGAGAATGCTAGGTAATCGCTCTCTTGCAGAGCAGTATCCCCCAACGCTTATTTTTTAAAATTCTAGGGACTCCATTTCCCTTGATGCCCTGCATCCTCTCCTACTCCAATTCCCATCATGCCTGATAGCCGCCTCGTCTGCAATTAAGTTCAATTCAGTTTACCAGTCCCAGAATTCCTAGCTGTTTCCCTACCTTGCCCTCACGCCTGTTGAATGTCAAGAACAACCAATTGGATCCGAGAGTGGGAGAATGGCAGGCCAATCGCCCAGTCATAGAGGTGGTAGAGGACGTGGCCCTACTCTGCCAGTCCCTGCTCTGTGGCTGGTTCTCTTCCAACTGGCGCCTCCGGCTGGACCCGCAGACATGGGCACCACCTGGAGGAATCCTGGGTGGGTGCGGTTTGCCCTTTGCCTCACCGGTTTAGTGCTTTCCCTTTACGCGCTACACGTGAAAGCGGCGCGCGCCCGCGACCGAGATTACCGCGCCCTCTGCGACGTCGGCACTGCCATCAGCTGTTCGCGCGTCTTCTCCTCCAGGTGCGCGTGCAAGTAGAATGCTTTGGGCCCGACGGAGTCTGGAATCCAGGTGCCCAGGGAACCGACACTTTGAAACCGAACTGCCCAGCAAATCGGGTGTGCACAGGGGCTGGGCTACCAGAGATAATAAAGTTCCAGATAAGAGAGCAGGGCACAGGGGAAAATAGTCCTGGGGACTGGGACTGGAGATCGCACGTGGATCTGGGTGCCAAAGAACAACGGTTAACGGGAAAGAGGGAGAGGTAGCGAGTAGGAACTGACGTGGTCTTGAGCGTGGCGCGAGGGGAGGGGAATGCTGGTAATGACTGCCTGGGAGAAGGAGACTAAAGATGGCTGTGCTTGAGGACCAGGGGTTTAATAGTGCGATGATGGAATACGGAAGAAGGGAGTGGGTGGCCAGGAAATTGGATGTTTGTGAGTCCAGGGCTAGGAGAATGTGCCCCAGATTTTCCATCTTGGGAAAAGGTTACGCCATCCTTGTCATCTAAAGATTATTGAAGGTCCAGGATAGAGAGGTGCCTGGAAGAGCAATGGCCAGCCCTGGGGATAAGGGAGGACAGGGGCAGTGATACGGAATCCTGACGTGGCCAAACATTCGGGAGGTCAGGAGGTCATGGACCTTTGGATCCCTCGGGTGGATGGGGAATAAAAAATTGGGGCAACCAGCCCAGGTGGCTTCTTGGAAATCACCTTTCTAGGACAAAGTCCAAGGCACTAGCTTGACACTACTAACCTGGGTCCCCACGACCACCACCACCACCAGGTGGGGCCGTGGCTTCGGGCTGGTGGAGCATGTGCTGGGAGCAGACAGCGTCCTCAATCAATCCAACAGCATATTCGGTTGCATTTTCTACACGCTACAGCTGGGGTTAGGTGAGTGGCCCCGCCCCTTCCAGCTAGGCAAACCCAGTCCCACCCAGACAGTTGACAGCCAGCTGCTCATCACTAAGCATTCTTGGGGCAAGAAGGCAGGGAGGGCACTAACAGGAGTCTTTCAATTGGTTTAGGTCAGAGGCTGACCAACCCCTAAAGACTTCCTAGGATCCTTTTTATATTTTATTTTTATAAAAATTTTTATTATTTTTAGCTATACATGACAGTAGGATATATTTTGATATATTTTACATACATAGAGTATAACTTATTATAATTTGGATCCCATTTTTGCGGCTGTACATGATCTGGAGCATCACTGGTTGTATATTCATATATGTACATAGGAAAGTTATGTCCCATTCATTCTACTGTCTTTTCTATTCCCATTATATTTTATTTTGAGAGAGGGTTTCCCTAAATTGTTTAGGGCCCCATTAATTTGCTAAGGCTGGTTTTGAACTTGTAATCTTCCTGCCTCAGCCTCTTGAGTCACTGGGATTACATGCATGCACCATGCCCCTGGATCTTTCTTTTTTTTTTTTTTAAGACATGCCCAAACTGGCCTCAAACTCACAGTCCTCCTGCCTCAGTCTCCCAGTAGCTAGGATTAAAGGCATGTGCCACTGTACCTTGCCAGAAGTTCCTTTTTGAGGAGAATCCAAAGATAACCCTTTCGTCTTGTGTAGAGCTCTGTAAGAAAATTCACTATTTGGAAACCTGGGATCATTGAACAGATAGGTAAACAAAGGTCTTAGAGGGGGTCTGCCAAAGTGTCTTGTTTAGAGACCTTTCCCCTGCAGTCTAAGGAGCACCAGAAGTCATGACAGTGTTTTAGATGTGGCCATTCCTTATTTTTTTCTGCTTTTGCAGGTTGCCTGCGGGGACGCTGGGCCTCTATCCTACTGATACTGAGTTCCTTGGTATCCCTTGCTGGTTCTGTCTACTTGGCCTGGATCCTGTTCTTCGTGCTCTATGATTTCTGCATTGTTTGCATCACCACCTATGCTGTCAACGTGGGCCTGATGTTGCTTAGTTTCCGGGAGGTTCAGGAACCCCAGAGCAAGGCCAAAGGACACTGAGGCCTCACCCCAAACCAGGCTGACCACATCTGCTTTGCTTTAGCACATGAGCCTTGCCCAAGGGGGCCATGTCTGGGTACCTAGAAAGCCCTTCATCCTCCCCCCCCCACATCCCTTCTATAACCATACACAGGAAAATGGACCAAATGTGCCTCTAGCTCTGACCCAAGGGCAGGTTTCTGCAATTGCCCAAGGATAGAAGGTTCTGAGCAATAAAATTTCTTAAATAAAGTTGGTTAAGTCTGAACCATCTGTCTGCTAGGGATACTGGTTTTGGGCTTCCCCCAGTGTTGCCTTCTCTGGAACTGGGAAGGATGAGTCAGAGGGAGAGTGGAGGGCCAGTCTGGGAAGGGTGGTTGTGGTTAGTCTCACCTCTAGTAGTGGAGTCAGCAAGGTCTGGGCACCATCAGCTCCCACCCTCAGGAAATAGGCTGGCAGCTTGTCCTTCCTGCCCACAAGTGCCAGACCTCCAAGCACATACCTGCCAAGGACAAGATGCCCTTCTGGCTCTGGGCATATGTGCTGTGAACATCTTCCTATAATCTCAGTCCCTCCAACTGCCTTATCTACCATTCCAAGCCAGTCTTGGCAGTTTTGGAGGGTCAGGGCCAGGTTGTGTTTTTGTTCTTCCTGATAAGTACTGATGACTTGCTCATATGCCAAGCACTATTTTAAGAATTTTTGTTAATGTATTTAATCATTGTAGCAATTGTAGGAAGCAGGGTTATTAGTATTTCTATCTTGGTTAGGAACCTGAGGTACACAAAGGTTGTAATTTGCCTAAGATCATACACCTAGTACCAGGAAAGAATTAGGGAGATCTCAGGGTTTTTGTTTTTTTGTTTCTTCCTGGAGGGCCTCACACATATGAGGGAAGTACAATACCACTAAACTACACCCCCAGTCCCATATCTGCTTCTGGGTTGAGGTTTCTGGTTGGCCTTAGGTAGAAGTCAGAGAAAAAAAGATGCACTCCAAATATTCTCTTCCAACTTTTCCAGCATTTGTAAGAAAAGTGGGCATCAATGTAACCTTATTTCCTGGGAAGGTAACAGGCCCAGAGAGAGATTGGGATTTGCCATAGATTCATGACCAGCAAATAGTACAGAGATCTGATCCCAAACCTACCTTTGTATAAACCGTCTCTGAAGCAGACATCGGGAGAAGGTATGTGAAGCCTACCTGGCCCTGGCCTGAGATAGGCAGGGAAGACAAAATAAAAATGGAAACTAGGAAGGTCTGTCAACCATATCCTTCGAAGCTCCAGGGGAATGTTTCTATGCTGGAAGCAAGTTTATTAGAAGCCAGGCTCTCATCAAAGCATTTTCACATTCAACAATTCTGAATATTTTTGTTTGTTTATGCCAGGGACTGAGCCCAGGGGTCTTTAACCACTGAGCCATATTCCCAGCCCTTTTAATTTTGAGACAGGATCCCACTAAGTTGCTGAGGTTGGCTTTCCTCTTGCCTTAGCCTCCCGAGTCACTGAGATTACAGGTGTGTGTCACCATGCCCAACATCAACTCTTGAGTTTTGTTTATTTTCGGTTTTTTTAATATTTTTTAGTTGTAGATGGACATAATACCTTTATTTTATTTATTTATTCTTATGTGGTGCTGAGGACTGAACTCAGGGCCTCGCACGTGCCAGGTGAACACTCTACCACTGAGCCACAACCCCAGGCCCCAATTCTGAGTTTTTCTGACAAAGGCACAGACAAGTTAACTGTTCAAGGTGACTTAAGTAGTAAGTGGAGGAACTGGGATTTGAACCCAGGAAGTCTGGCTCCATGGTTAAGTCCCAGAGAGGGGTGACTGACCAGCTCAGGGTCACACAGCCATAGCCCCAAAGCTAAGAGCTGCTGGCTACCCTCCAGCCCAGAAAAAGCTATGACTACTGACTACTAGCCAACTGGGGGCGGAGCAGAGGTGGAGCCAGGGAGACCCAGGTGGCCTCTCTGACAACCACAGTACAGGCAGCAGAGTGGCCTGGAGCAGCATGAAGCAGAGCTGGAGACCAGTACTGCTCATCCTGGGAATGGTGGTCCTTATAGAAGGTAAGCCACCCATTGGTGAGGGAGTGGGGAGTGACATGGTAGGGGTTCACAGGCCACCCTCTGCTCTTCAGCCCCTGCAATTTGGTGAGGGATCCTGTCTGGGGCAACAGTCTGCCTAAGATGATGTCAGTGTGGTTGTTTGGGCAGGGGGATATGTGACCACCTATGTCAAAATGGGTATGATTTTTTTGAGCAGGGTTAATCTGTGTCTGCAGGGACTATCATTGTGTCTCTGGGTAGTCCTGCCTATGTGTATATCTTATGCTGTCTGCCTCTCTGCTTTCAGACTTACCTCAGGCAAGTTCAGGGGCACCCCTGGCCTGGGTATTTGTCTTTCCTCCATCCCATCTTGGATCTCTCAGCTAATATGTTCAATGGGTCTATGTATGCCTGTGAAGGAGAACAGGCAAGGCAGGGACCCTTTGGTAGAACCCCTGGCAGCTCCTGGGAAGCTGGGGAGTCTGGAGTTGTTAGAATAGGGGTGGAGTGAGTCTCAATCTTTTGGGGCTCTTCCCCAATTGGACATGACGTAGGCTTCTAATCCTTCTCTTAGGCCTCCACAGCTAAAGAGACAATTAAGCTAATGCTCTCCACAAACACAGGCTGCCTCCCTGACTCAATGCTGGGGGCAGGAGTTGGGGGTTCTTAAGGCTAAAGGAAGGTTGGTCTGGTCCCAAGCTGAACCCCAGGCTCTGTTTCTCAGGCCCAGGAATGATGAGCACAGCTGAGGGAGGAGGACTAATTACTGAGTGTGCACTCTGAATGGGTTCCAATAAAAGCTGTTTCTCGGCCTCATATAAATATTTTCATTCTGGGAGGGGCTGGTGAGGTAGCCAGAGTCATAGGCAAGGACCCAGGGACTGTCCCCACTGAGCCTGAACCAGGAGGTTAGGTGCCCCCAAGCCTCACCTGTCTCTTTTTTTCCCCCAGGTCTTCAAGCAGCTCAGCGTGGTAAGCTCTGGGGAAAGATGTGGGGACATGGAGGCTGGGTCTTACTTGGGTCTGGGTCAGGCCTGGGGTGGAGGCAGGACAGGGGTCAGCAGTCTGTCTGACCCATCCTTCTCCACAGTCTGTGGGCAGCGTGGCCCTGGCCCCCCCAAGCCTCAGGAGGGCAACACAGCACCTGGTGAATGGCCCTGGCAGGCCAGTGTGAGGAGGCAGGGAGTCCACATCTGCAGTGGCTCCCTTGTGGCAGACACCTGGGTTCTCACCGCTGCCCACTGCTTTGAAAAGTGAGTCATGGTTGGGGTCAGGTAGGGTCTCTGGCTTAGGGGTGGATGATTTGTTCCCATGCCCCACAAAACTAGTCCCTGCACCTAAAATTCCATTTGATAATCTGACATATGTCAGGTACATATTCTCAAGTTAATTTTAACAACAACCTTGGGGCTGGGAATATAGCTCAGTTGGTAGAGTGCTTGCCTTGCATGCACAAGGCCCTGGGTTCAATCCTCAGCACCAAAAAAAAAAAAAAAAAAACCTTTCATGGTAGGAACTCAGAAACTCAACCTTTCATTTACAAATGACTGAGCTGGAGAGAAAAGGAATTACTGTGCTTAAAGTCATGGACTGATATCTTCCCACCTTCCACCTACCTATGGCATCACTCTCTCCTTGCACTCAATAGCCTGGGTCTTACCTTTCCTATTCCAGGGCAGCAGCGACAGAACTGAGCTCCTGGTCCATTGTCCTTGGTTCTCTGCAGCGTGAGGGGTTAAGCCCAGGGGCTGAGGAGGTGGGGGTGGCTGCCCTACAGTTGCCCAAGGCCTATAACCACTACAGCCAGGGCTCAGACCTGGCCCTGCTTCAGCTTGCCCACCCCACAGCCCACACACCCCTCTGCCTACCCCAACCTGGGCATCGCTTCCCCTTTGGAGCCTCTTGCTGGGCCACTGGCTGGGATCAAGACACCAGTGATGGTAAGTGCCGTCCTAGCCTAAAGCCCAAAGAGGCACTCTGCTATCCCAATGACACATAGTCTTATCTCCTGCCTGTCCCGGCCCCAAGTCTCCCTTGCTTCCTAGAACTCAGATTCCAGCCTTAACCCCTATCTTTTTGCCAGCTCCCAGGACCCTACGGAATTTGCGCCTGCATCTAATCAGCCGCCCCACGTGTAACTGTCTCTACAACCGGCTGCATCAGCGGCTCCTGGCTAGCCCAGCTAGGCCGGGAATGCTGTGTGGGGGTGCTCAGCCTGGGGTGCAGGGGCCCTGTCAGGTTTGAGGGGAAGGGAAAAGGAGAGGGAACCTAGCCTTGGGCTGGGGGGCTCAACCCAGAGAAGAATAGAAGGGCTGCAGTCAGAGGGTGTCTGTTCTTGTCTCCATTGCCTGACTCCAGGGAGATTCTGGAGGTCCTGTGCTGTGCCGTGAGCCTGATGGACATTGGGTTCAGGCAGGGATCATCAGCTTTGCATCAAGATGTGCTCAGGAGGACAATCCTGTGCTGCTGACCGACATAGCTGCTCACAGCTCCTGGCTGCAGGCTCGCGCTCAGGGGGCAGCCTTCCTGGCCCAGAACCCAGGGACTGTGGAGACCAGTGATGAGGATAGCTGTGTAGGTATGAGCAGAGTGTTCAGAGTGGGGATGTATGGGGATACTGAAGCTTGCATGAGGATTTCTGGGCAGCAGGTGCAAGTCACAATAAAGCAAACTTCAGTTCAGAATACAGTTGAGGGGCTGAGTTGTGGCTCAGTGGTAGAGCACTTGCCTGGCATGTGTGAGGCCCTGAGTTTGATCCCCAGCACCACATATAAATAAATAAATAAATAAAATAAAAAAGATCCATTGACAAAAATATTTTTAAAAAATACAGAATAGAGTTGAAACAACACACTACCAATGGGCCTTTAAGGCCTCTTTTGGCCCTTGGGATGGGAATAACCCCATTGGGGCTGAGAGGTATAGGATGCTTGGAGCTTTATGGGTTTGGAGTTTAGGTAAGAAAAGGGATCACTGAGATTTGAGTGGAAGTTTTTTGGGGAAGCTACAAGCTTCCGCAAAGAGATTCAGTGAGGCAGGGCACCCACTCAGACACCTGGCATTAAGTGACTGACATGCAAACTGCATGCAAAATAATTCCTGGGAAGGAAGCTATGTCTTGATGTTGAGAGAAGCCAAGTGAGCCAGGAATTCTGGAGCCAGTCCAGGCCTGGAGGAGTGCAGATGGGTTGAGCGGGGGAGTGATGAGCAGGGCCCTTCCTGGAAGACTGGGACAGAGTACTGTCAGACCATCTGGGTTAAGAGCTCAGGTTGGCTTTTGAATCCAGGAGCTCCCTACCACTGAGCTACATCTCCAGCCCTTTTGTTTTGAGGAAGAGTCTCACAAAATTGCCCAGGCTGTCCTCTTACTTGTGATCCTCTTGTCATAGCCTTCTGAGTGGCTGGGATCGCAGGCCTTCATTACCACTCCCAGCCATCCCTGACTTTTGAATCCCAAGTCTGCTACTTGCTCTTGGTTTAAGAGCTAGAAGAAAGTCACTTAACTTCTCAGGAACTTTGGTTACTTCTGGTAATGAGGGTAACAAAAGTCAATTTAAAAGGACATTGAGAGGATTTGATAGCGCATGGGAAATATTTAAGCACAGGGCCTGGCACACAGTGAACACTTAAGTCAAATGACATAATTCATCTTTTTCAGCCTGTGGATCCTTGAGGACCAATGGTCCCCAGGCAGGAGCCCCCTCCCAGTGGCCCTGGGATGCCAGGCTGAAGCACCAGGGGAGACTGGCCTGTGGCGGAGCCCTTGTGTCAGAGGAGGTGGTGCTGACCGCTGCCCACTGCTTCATTGGGTGAGCTCTTGCACCTCTCCTTTGTGCCCCTTGCCCCAGTTCTGTTACCCAGTGCTCTCAATGCTGCCTCTGCACAGGCGCCAGACCCTAGAGGAGTGGAGTGTAGGGCTAGGGGCTGAAACAGAGGAGCACAGCCTGAAGCAACTCATCCTCCATGGGGCCTATACCCACCCAGAGGGGGGCTATGATATGGCCCTCTTGCTGCTGGCCCAACCTGTGACACTAGGCCCCAAAGTGCGGCCCCTTTGCCTGCCCTACACTGATCACCACCTGCCTGATGGGGAACGTGGCTGGGTCCTGGGGATGGCCCACCAAGGAGCAGGTATGTAGAACCAGGCCATCAGGAGTTGTCCATCCAGCCTAAAGGCCAATGGGACATTCTGATTCTTTTCCCTTGTCCTGTAGGCATCAGCTCCCCCCAGATGGTACCTGTGACTCTTTTGGGGCCAAGAGCCTGCAGTCGTCTGCATGCAGCCCCTGGAAGTGATGGTATCCCCATTTTGCCAGGGATGGTGTGTACCAGTGTTGTGGGTGAGCTGCCCCACTGTGAGGTGAGACCCAGTTCATCAAACCATACCCAACAGACCCCCAGCCCTCCCTCACCCTGCAGTTTATGAACAGACCTGTCAGGCTTGGCTTCTAGCTCTAATCCCACCTGAAAGTAATCCTTTCTGCCAACTAGCCCCCAAACTGCCAGAGATCCAGTCCCTAGCCCCTTTCGCTCTTCCCCAGTTGCCTAAAGAAAAAAAGGAAGTCACCCAGTGTCACCTGACCTCACAGGGCCTGTCTGGAGCACCACTGGTGCACAAGGTGAGGGGCACATGGTTCCTGGCTGGTCTACATAGCTTTGGGGATGCCTGCCAAGGCCCTGCACAGCCTGCGGTCTTCACAGCACTCCCTGCCTATGAGGACTGGATCAGCAGTTTGGACTGGCAGGTCTACTTCGCTGAGGAGCCAGAGCCTGAGATTGAGGCTGGAAGCTGCCTAGCCAACTGGAGTATGTGACCCCGAGGGTTTCCTGATGAACTGCCTTTCTCTAGACTCCTCTCTCAATCTAGGGAGAGCACTATTCTAACCCACCTGTAGCTGACCTGGATGGGGAAGAGCACTGGACAAACCCATGTGGATGCTAGGGAGTAGGCCTCTTAACCTCTTTGAACCTCAGTATCCTCATCTGCCACAGGAACCAAGACAGACACTACTCTTTTAAGGGAGGGAACTAAGTTGTGAGGATGAAGCCAACCCCACCCTACTTTTTCACCTTGACAGGTCAACCAGCCAGCTGTTGACAGGTGACTCTCTAGGCTGTTCACAGGACGCGAGAAAATTGAGGCAACTCCCACATCAACTCCTCTGCCCCAGCCTCCACGCCATGTGTAGTTCCAGTCCCTGAGGCAGCCCAACAGCTCATCTGGCTATGGGAAGAGCCTGCCCAAAATCAGAAGATGCTCCCACTCTCTGCCCTGCAGGACAGAGATGTCACCTGTGGGTCTTCCCACACTCAGCTCTGCTGTCCAATGCAGGCATCCCCAGTTCTCCCTATACTTCATTCTCTCAGATACAATCACACCAGTCATCTCTTTTGAAATTTTCTTTTTTGGGGGGGAGCAATTTTCCATTTTTTAAACTTAAATAAATTGTTACAAAATAGACTTTAGAAAATAAGTTACAAACTGTAGCAAAAGGCTCCCCTTCCACAGGCAACATTCCCACTCCTGGTGCTCTGAGTCTGCCACTCCCCAGTGTTGGAATCTAGCTGGTGAGGGTGGCTCAGCACCTTGGCAGAGCCTGGCACCAGGAAGAGCATGGTGACAAAAGCTGGGGGAAGAAGGTCCTTCAAGGGCAGGGACATGAGGAATGACCTTTCCCCTTCTTGGGAAAGAAGCCAGATGTGGGTCCTCTTCACAGGGAGAGGAGAAAAGAGATGGGGATGCCCAAGCTACTCCTGAGCAAAACAAGGAGATCAAGCCCCTCTCTGCCTGCACCCCCGCTCCCTCCAGTGTTCTGATCTTTGGAGACTTGAAATTCAGAGGGAGAAGCTGAGGTCTGCAGGCCACTGGGGTGAAGGGTCCAGAAGTTGGGTTGTGGGAGTGGGTGGAGGGGGCAATGACAAATCCCCTCTGCCTGTTGCTGGTGCCACTGGGGCTCCTGGGAAGAGAAAGAGAGGAAGTCACCAACTTGAGGGGGCAGATGCCACATGTCCCCAGGCTGCAGGCCATTCCTACCTGCCCATGGTCCCAGAGGTCCATATGAAAGCCCAGAAATTCTAGGATTCCCAATTATTTTCCCAACTGGCACTCACTCCATTTCCCTTGAAATCATAAGAAATCTTTTATATTGAGAGTCATCCCTTTTGCTTCCAGTGGATTGTCACCCACCATCCTCTCCCCTGATAAGCTCTGGTGAAGGGCCTACCATCTTAGGATACCCACCCTTGGTGGCCACTAGATGGAATGGGTCCTCCTCTCTAGAGGAGGAGGAGGAGGGATAGAGCCCAGGGCTTGCTGAAGGAAGAGGCTGTCCCACTCTTCCACAGCTTCATCCTTCAACAGGCTGGGTGGAGGCGAGTCTACACTGAGATCCCCTCGATAGAGGATGAGAGATAGGGGCTAATAACTGCTATTACTATAGCTAAGCCAGGCTTCAAAGAAATAATTATCTGTGACTCAGTCCTCCAAGTTAAGGCATGCAGGGGGTGGGGGGTTGCAGGTGGAAAGGGTGGTTTGGTTAGATCCTAAAAAGATGGCCAGCAGAGGGAGAACATAAGAGTTGACTAAAGAAAGAAAAAGAGATGTGGGAGCAAAGGTCCTAGGAAAGGATTAGAGGCCTAGTTTCCAAGAAAAAAGAGCAAAGACAAGATATAGGGAAAGAGGGACAAGGAACTGCGTACTGACCAGTGACCCAGTTTCCACAGCCAAGTCAGTAGTGAAATCATAAAGCAGTCAAAGCAGAGGCAGTCACTGACTGAGGGGGCTGATCCCACACCTCACCCAGGCCTGTAGGCCATTACCCCCACACCCACCCTATATGAGAACACAGGAATCCTGGCATTCCCAATAATTCCCCACCCATGCCCATTTTGAGAAAGAAAAAAACCTACACAAAATCAATGACTTCACTTTTTTTTTTCTTCTGAAAATAATTACTGGCTGAATCAGGAGGGTTTCCATATATAATAGTCAAGAAATATTCAGCTATTCCCTCCCTTACCAATGAAACAAAAAGGAATTCCTCTTTGACTATATAACACAGGAGCCTACACAGCTACCTGCCCCAACCCACTACACTATTTATCTGACCATGGTTTGGTATTAACGTTTTCATTTTACAAACAAGGAAGCTGAGTCCCTGAGAGGTTGAATGATGAGCTCCAGGTATCACTTTAGGGGAAAGTGGGGCTTACATGTAAATTCTAGTTAACAAAGCATGTGTGCTTCCCCTATGGTGCCTCTAAAATAGCTAGGGCTGCCTTTCAGCTGGCCCACTCTCTATCCTACACCCCAAAGAGCTTGTTCTTATTTGAAGTGTCAATCGGATTTCAAAATGAGTTTAACCCATACATTTATGTGAGCCCAGGATCCACCCTACATTATTTCAGTAATAGTTGCATTTCCCCTTAGAGTCTACCCCTAAGACACTCTCAGGCCACGAAGCCTGAAAGATGCCTCAGCTCACCTCTGGGATGAAGCATATAGCAAAGACCTCGTCCAGTCAGCTTATCACTTCTCCTTGACAACAGGGATTGGTTCAGATCTCAGTTGCTCAAAAGGCAGCATCCTTGAACTAGTTTTCTTCACTTTAGGTCCCTCACCCACTTAAAGTATATGTAGCTCTCTCATTCCTTATCCCACACCTATCTTAGGGCCTGGTTTTACCTTCCTCTAATGTCCACCCTCTTTCTGTGACCCTTCAATCCTCTACCCAAGCCCATTCATGCCCGCTTACCAGATCTGGCCACTGTCCATTCTTCTTGGTGTTGCTGCTGATGCTGCAGGAAGCTGATTCGGCGGCGGAAGTGGCGGGGACAATGGGGGCAGGTGAAAGGTCCCTCACGAGGTGCATGGACCCGCCCATGGCCCTCTAGCCGGGCAGCTGTCCGGAAGGCCTTGCCACAGATGTTGCAGCGGTGGCGTTTGGGGTCTGTGTGGGTCCTGCCATGGTTCTTAAGAGACAGCAGGTTAGGTAGAAGTTTAGGGCACAGGGAGCAGGGATACAGTCCAGTGGTGTGGGCCTTCTGGTGGTTCAGCAGGCTCCCAGCATGGCGGTAGGAACGCCCACACTGGGCACAGCGGAAAGGACGCTCCTTGTCTTCAGCTGCTATGGAATTTACTCCTTGCCCTCCACTAACTTGCTCAGCAGTCTCTTCTGGAGCCCTGGGGTGTTCTGAAGTGGCCTCCTGAGCTTTCTCTTGACCAGGGAGACCTGCTTTGTCCTCTATGATCCCAGCTTGGGGACCTCTGGCCTCCTCTATCTGACTTGGCATCTGACTGTAGCCCTTGGCATGAGTCTGCAGATGGGTGACCAGTTCATGGTGGCACTGAAAGGCCTTGCCACAGTCAGGGCAGGCAAAAGCCTGAGCAGCTATGTGGTTGTGGCTGTGACTCTTAGTGGCTACAGGGTTTAAGAAATTCTTGGAGCAAAGCAGGCAATAGTGGCGATCTGTCTTGTGGGTATTATGGTTCAAAAGGCCATCTGATTGGCAAAAGGTCTTACCACATTGGCTACAAGTATAGGAATGGCTCTCTGGCTGGAACTGAGAGCTGCTGTCTCCATTGTCCCAGCTATCCACATGACTCAGACTAGGTCCATTGGACTGACTGTCAGGAAGATGGCAAGGACTACTGGGGACATTGTCTTCTGGCTTAGTTAACAGCTGACCCTGAAGAACCCAATCTCCACTGTGATTCATTAATTTCCTATCTCCTTGCCACCCATCTGCCTTCCCCATGCCCCATGACAGTAGCTCTGCAGCATCTGAACCTTCTGCCCTGATGGGGCTCTGACTGTGTTCCCCTGGTCTTATGGCTCCATCTTCTACCTGGGGTACTGACTCAATACTACCTGATCTGTCTTTAAGTCCCAGATCATTGGCCAGGTTCTCTTCATTGCCTTCTGTACCACTTGGTTCTCCATGGCCATTGGCCAGCTCCTGTTTAGTCTTTTCCTCATGCTCCCTCAGGTGCCGCTCTAGAGATCCCCGGCCAGGAAAGCCCCGGCCACAGAGAGCACAGCGTACAGCTGCCCGCCGGGACCGGCCTGCCCGCCGCCGCCGACTGTCAGAATGCAGCCTCTGATGGTCCTTAAGGGCCATGCGGTTTGAGTAAGTCTTGGGGCAAGTAGGACAGCTGTATTGGCCTGTCTCATGGCTGCGCCGGTGGTTCAGGAGGCTGCCTGCATGGCGGTAGGTCCGTCCACACTGACCACATCGGAAGGGACGATCTTCTCGAGTCATCTTTTGGGCACCCCCACGCCGCTCAAAATGGACTCGCTGGTGACTAGCCAGCTGTTTCCTCAAGCGAAAGGCCTTCCCACATTCGCTGCAACGGAAACGCCGAGGGTCTGCATGGATGCGCCGGTGGTTCTTGAGAGACATGAGGTTTGAAAAGCCCTTGGAGCAAGCCTGGCAGCCAAAGTGGCCAGTCTGATGGCTCTGCCGGTGATTGATGAGGCTACCAGCATGTTTGTATGAACGGCCACACACCTCACAGCTGAAGGGCCGCTCAGAGCTGGCCTCTGTCTGACAGCCCTTCTCTGCCGTCTCCAACCTTGGCTCTATCTCCTCCCCCTTCACAGTGGTCTCTTCCCATGCCTCTTCCTTCACTCTAGCCACCTCCTCCAAGGGCTCCACTTTAAGTTCTTCCTGGAGCTTTCCGACTTCTGCCTGCTCTGGCACCTTCTCTGCCACATTCTGGGGCTCACTACTGCCTCCTGCCTCTGGGATGGGTCCCACTTGAGGTTCAGAGCCTTTGCAGCGAGGGTGGTTCCGCAGATGATTACGGTAGGCAGCCAGGTTGGGGTAGCAGCGGGAGCAAACAGGACAGATGAAGTCCCCAGTCTGGTGGATCTTGCGGTGGTTCACTAGGCTGCCCCCATGGCGATAAGTCTTGCCACACTGGTTGCAGCGAAAGGGACGGGGTTGGACCTCCAGAAAACTTTCATCAACCTGCATGCAAAGGTTGTCTGCAACTGTGCCACCTACTTCCTCTTCAGACTTTGTGTCCCCACCCTCTCCAGAAACAGAGGTCACTATGCCCTCAAAGACACTGTCAGCAACCACCTCTGTGGCATCGTCTAACATTTCCAAGCAGCTGGAAGCCTTGTCTGTGGTGTTTTCTGAATTCTGACTTTGGTGGTGACGTTCTAGGCTCCCCAGGTCATCATAGGTCTGACCACAGCAGCCACAGATGTGCCCATAACCTGCTCCATCCAATGCTTCCACCTCTCTCTGCAGCTGATTCAGCAGCTCTGCTTCTGAGAGTTGCAGTGGAGGGGATTGGGTGGAGGCCGCCTCTACAGCTCCTTCTTCTTCCCCCTCCTCCTCTGAGCCCTCAGTCATACCAGAGGAATTGTGAGCCTGGCGCCGGTGAAGCCTGTAGCCAGCTCGCCCAGGGAAGATCATACCACAGAGGCAGCAGAGGAAGGGCTGTGCTGAGACTACCTCCCCCGGCCCATGGTTCTGGAAGTGACTGCGTAGGGCAGGCAGAGAGTCAAACTCCTTCGGGCACAGTGAGCACTGATAGATGCCTGGTGGATGGCAGGGCCTATGGCTTAGCAGGCCAGTGGCATGGGGGAAAGAGCGCCCACAGTCAGAACATGTGTGAGTGACCTCAGATTGCCAGCTGGTGACAGTTTCAGAAGAGTGGGAAGAGGAATTAGGCTGCTCAGTAGTCGGTTTCTGGTCTTTGTCCATCCCAGGAAGGCCAATACAGAAGTGAGTCCCGCTGCCTTCCTCATTATCTGGGATGCCCAAATTGTCAAGAAAACAAGACTCCTTCCTTTCTAGTCCATTCTCAGTGTCTCTGCTCTCTTTATTACAGGCCTCATTCCTCTCAAGCTCACATTTGTCACCTTCAGATTCAGCCTGTGAACAGTCCCCATCACTTTCCAAGTTGCCTTCAGTCCTACAAGGACTTTCTCCTAAAGGTCCTTGGGGATGATCCAAGCCCCCATTGTCTTCCAACTCCTGGACCCACGTTCCCCCTGGTGGGAGTTTGGCTTCTCCCATACTGGCACCCCGCTTTCGATGCCGCCTGCTCCGCCGTCGGCTATGGCGTCGCAAATGGTTCTTCATGGCAGACATGGTATGGAAGTGTTTGGCACAGGCCCCACAACTAAAGTCCCCTGTCTGGTGGGTCTGCCTGTGGTTGATAAGGCTGCCCGAGTGGCGATAGCTCTTCCCACAGTCTCGGCAGGCAAATGCCCGAGGAGGTGACATTGTGGCCTCTGTCCTATTTTCCACTTCCCCTGCCCTATGGGTCAGGACATGATGTTCAAGACTGTCAAGATCTTCAAAGAACATCCCACAGATGCTACATATCTGTGGTGATGTCCCATCTGCTACTGGGGGGATATCAGTGGCCTCTTCTTCATGTTTGCATAAGTGCTCCTGATCTGTGTGTAAGGCTGCCCCCGCTCCCACTGGGTCAGGTGGGAGTTCCACCTTGAGGTGGCTGGGGGGACCCTCAGTCCTTGGGTCTGCATTTCGGCGAGCAGCCTTGCAATGTACCCGTACATGGTTTCGCAGGGCCATTAGGTTGGGGTACTTGCGGGGACATAGTGAGCACTGGTACTCTCCTGTTCGATGGCTGTGTCGGTGGTTCACCAGGCTTCCTCGGTGGCGGTAAGCCCGACCACATTCATTGCACTTATAGGGGCGATGGTCTAGAGTGGTGGTAGGGACCCCATCTTCTCTGTGGGTGGTTTCAGTCAACAGCAAAGGAGCTGGTGGTACTGATGACTGCCCATCTTCCCCAGCTCCTTGCCGAGGTCTATGATGAGCCCGCACATGGTTTTTGAGAGCAGCTGCATTGAACAGCTGTTTGGAACAGACTGAGCAGGGGTAGACACCTGTCTGATGGCTCTTTCGATGGTTGATGAGACTCCCAGCATGCCGGTATGTACGGCCACAGTCCCCACAGCGGAAAGGCCGGTATTCTTCCAGGCCACTGTCTTCCAGCTCCCCAGAAGTGCTGAGCTCCCCAGAGCCATTCAGCATCTGTATACTAGGTAGCTGGTCCTGGCTGCTCTCATCTGTGTGACCATTGGTAGTGGGCATCCCTTTCTCTTCCCACGGTTGCTCCTGCCTTTCAACCTCATGGGACTGCTGGTGCTCCAACAGATCCCGGGGAAGCCGGAAGGCACGAGGGCAATAAGGACAGTGGTAAGGCCGATATTGGGCATGTAGTCGGGAATGGTTCTTCAGAGCCATGAGGTTAGAGAACTCCTTGAAGCAGATGGCACAAGGATAAACACCCAGGGTGTGGCTCTGGCGATGATTGGTGAGGCTACCAGCATGCTTGTAGGTCTTGCCACACTGACTGCACTTGTATCGCCGTTCCTCCTCGGCAGGAGGAGACTGGGTGAGCTCTTGTCCCCCAGTGAAGTTCACTACTGATTCAGCCAAATACTGTTCCAAATTGCTAAGGAGGCTGCTTGCTGGGGTGGGGAGAGGTGGGGTTCTGGCAGAATTGGTGGTGGACCCCCAGACCTCTGCAATCTCCTCAGCATCTGGTTGATTTTCCCAGCCTTCCCTTTGTCTGGTAGGCAGATCTTCCCAAGTGCCAGAGGTTGCCCTAGGGTCAGATCCAGACTCACAACCAGGTGTGTCTTTTGTATGTTTTGTCTGGTTTCCCCAGCCTTCCCCAGGGCCAAGCTTCTGGCCCCAGGAGTCAGTGGACACGGTCTCACTCTGGACATGTGGAGTGGCTTCTTTGCGGGGGGGCCTGCGCCTGCGCCGGCCTTCAGGAGCATGAGTCCTCAAGTGGCTCTTGAGGGCCATGGGATTAGTAAAGTCCTTGCCACAGGTGGTACAAGGGAAAAGGCCAGTCTCGTGGGTTCGGCGGTGGTTGACCAGGCTCCCGGGGTGACGGTAGCCCCGCCCACACTGCTGACAGCGATAGGGACGAGGGATGCTGTCAACTTCCTCACTATCCTGGTTGGGAGATGGATGGAGCAGTTCTCGGTGCCGTGACAGTTCTGGGATACTAGGAAAGTGACGCTGACAGTCAGAGCAGCTAAGTGAGAGAGGCGTGTCCTCCATGGGTCAATGTGACAGAAACCTGGAGGTTCAGGAGGAACAGACAGGTGGCAGCAGCATCTTCTTCTGGTGGAGGAGCCAAGGCCTAGGAACAGGGGGTCGTTATCAAAAAAAGGCCTGAATTAACTTTGACTCTTGTTTCTATGAGCCACACATTCACTAGAGGTCACTGAGAGGTTACCTAACCATCAATGCCCAGTGATCTACTTTCTACTAGATCTAACCTGGGAGCACCATCATTTAAGGCCTATGCACAGCTCCCCAAATATGGGAGTTCCTCTAGGCTTAAGTCATACCTAAAAGATAAAGGAATAGAAGTCTAGAGAGTAACTCACTTCTGATCACAAACCTAATATCATGTCTTTCAGGCCAGATTCAAAAGGTTTACTGTTCCCAATCTTATATTCTCTATAATTCTGTGAAAACAAAAAACTTCTATGACACCTGAAAAAGGAAACTAGAATTATTCCTAGGCTTCAGAATAAGAAAGTCAAACCCTTTCTCCTTTATCCTTCAACTAAATAAAGTAACCTGGAAGCACTGAAAAAAACGGCTACTTTCTCCATCAATAACTAATAAAAATATTTTAAAAAAGAAGTCATCTACAGAGAAGGGACTGGTTTGTTCCCTCCACTCATTCCAAGTCCTTTCAGTGTCTCAAGGTCTTCTTTCCAAAAACTCTCTTGCCTACTTTTACGTACTTCCCCCAAACCCCAACTATCTTCCATTTTGGGGGAAAAAAAATCCCATCTCTTTTGACACTTTGAATTTCATTTCATCTCCTATTTTCTAGTCCGAGTCGCCTTACTTTACTCTCACCATCCTTTCTCATTTTTTCTTCTACTACTTTTCAATACTGATGACAGTAACTCATGCTGAACATTACCATGTGCTAGGCACTGTAAATATATTCACTGTGTCACTAAATCCTGACAACACTGCAATGCCAGTTAACCCAGCTTACACATGAGAAACACACTGACTGAGGCAGTCTTCACCTTAAAGCTCTTGTTTTCTTAGTAATAGCCCCTCCTGCCTCCTAGTCATCTTGGCCTTTTCCAATTCTGACTATTCACTCCCATGGGACACCAATAGAATTCATCTCCGACTTTAAACCCTTTCACTGAATCTGCCCCCAGAATTCTCACTTCCCAAAGCTCCTTCTCTCAAGAGTCCCCTTCCCTAATCAACCACCAACGAGGTCCTCTATCGTCACTCATCTCTTCTGCCAATTTCCTCTTAGGACCCCTACCTTGCACCGCCGACCCCTTCCCGTTCCCGCCGCGGGCGCGTCCGTTGGGAACCGCGAACGAGAGCGCGCCTGCGCACTGGGACCCTTACCCTAACTGCAGCCGCGCGCCCCAGGGGGTGGCTTTGGGGGGGTCTCGCGCTCCTACACACGAACAGTCAGCCAGGGTTCCCGGAAATGGGGAAGCACAGTGCAAGAAGAAAAGACGGAGGTGAAGGAAGAGGAAGGTAGAGAGAAGAGGGCACAGCTGGTATGATCCAGAACTCTACCCCCCACCTCCGCGGACACTTCCTATTGTTACTAGGAAACAGGAAGTGTCCTAGATGCAAAATCTTCCCCGTGAAACTTCCGCTTCTGGAACACTTCCTGTCCCGCCTCCAGGCTGCAGTTCTACACAAACACACTTCCGGTGCCAGGTTCTGGCTGGGCGTGACTCTGGCTCCGCCCACGCAGGTCACAACGCTGTTTTCCTTCTCACTACCTTAGCTACGACTAGGTCCAGAGCGGCAAAATCGTTCCGATGCATACTGAATAAGTGCGAGTTTGGGGGGGAATTCTTCAGGCCTGGCCACAGTACTATGGTGACACTTTTTGTGGGACTCCCAAGACAGATGGGGAAAGCTTCATTAAATTCACTCCTTGCTATTAAAGGAAATGTGAAGTAGAGGGTTTAGATACCACAAAACTTTATCATGGCCTTTCTGTCCTCCTATCTTCTAACTCTTGGAGACACTTCCGGTGACCTGGCCAATTCATACAGTCGGCCGGGCGTCCCCTTGCTTTCTTGCTCAGAGACCCTTAGCAAGATGTTTCCGCCACCATAGGCTGGAGGTGCTTGCGTAAACTTTTCCTTCTCTTAAGCGGGGAAAGCTCTCTCTCACTTCCGCTCTCTGGTCTGCTGGCCCCGCCTCCCTGCCCCCCGCTGGGTCCTAGCGCCTTCCCCTTTCTGGTGGTGTTCTGGGCTTTGGTGCGTGAAGCCGACGCAGATGCCACGGAGCCAGTCCAAGTCGGATCAGGTAGGAGACGCCTGCGGGAAGTCGCCAAGACCCCGGGCAGCCCTAGCACGGATGCGGTCAAATCTGGCCTCAGTTTTCCTGTGGGCACCGGAGGACTGGGGTTGGCCCAACGCGAGCAGCGCGGGCGGGGCGGGCGGCAAGCGGCCCCAGGCGGGCTCCGGGCCCAGCAGGTCCTAGAACCCGCCGGCTGTCCCCGCGGGCCGGCTACTACGGACTCCCGGGCTCGGCCAACGCGGCTGCCGGCCTTGCGCGGTGTGGGCCCAGGGGTCCTAGAGCCCGCCATGTTGAGGGCTTTTGTCTTAGCTGCGCGGCCCGCCAAGTAAGGTCCCTAGCGCCTGTGGCCCCCCTCCCAGGCGGAGGCCCTGACCGCCCCTCCCGCGGTCCTAAAGAACGCCATTTACGGGGCTTTGTCCCGCTTTTGGCCCTCCTTCCATTCATTTGTTCATTCCTTCATTCTTCGTTTACTTTTTCTTATCACGTCTCCAAGGCCACGTTTTCCTAGGGTTCATTCCGAAACGAGTCAGCCCGGGGCCCTGCCCTGCGGGGGCTGCCTGTCTGATGAAGGTACCAACGCAGATAGTTATAGGGATTGAGGAGCACAAGGTTTCTGCATCTTTTGGCCACTCCTCAGGTCGTCTAGTAGGCTCTAATGCCCTTCAACTCCCTTATACCTCAGCTGTCGCATTTTAGCAATGCCGAGATAGGCCGAGAGCGCTGTGGATCCTTTACTTCTAATGTCCACTAGGTGTTATTGGGAGCATTGGAGAGGGAGTATTTGAGTGATGCAAATGAGTTTTCCCTTGGGAGAAGGGGAGCATGGGCTTCTTGACAGAGGGGATTGCATATAGAAGGGCGAAGTTTGAGAACAATTTTGGCCGGAGCTTTGGTCGCTGACCTGAGCGGGTCACTGCCACTGAAACTGAGGCTGGAAAAGTAGAGTGGGATCAGATTGTGAAGGTTTTAGGCCTAGCTATGATTAATGCTCACCTCTCCACAGTTGCATCAACTCACCAGATCTCTCCTGGCCTGAGAGGTTTATGTGATGACTACTTTCTTAAAGATGGGGAGACTTAAATGCCTCCTTTTTCACCTCATCCCAGCTTCCAGACTAAGCTTTTGGGGGAATTCAATCTCTGCATATCTTCTGATTACAGGTAACAGACTTGAGAGGTGGGGACATGAGATTAAGAGATAATTCTGTAGAGTGGGCCCACTGTGCTGGTCCCCACATGCTTGCTTTTAATTCTTTAAAATTTTATTTATTTATTTAGGATACTGGGGATTGAACGCAGGGGCGCTCAACCACTGAGCCACATCCCCAGCCCTATTTTGTATTTTATTTAGAGACAGGGTCTCACTGAGTTATACAGGGACTTGCTAAGTTGCCAAGGCTGGCTTTGAACTGTTGGTCCCCCTTCCTCAGCGTTCTGAGCTGCTGGGATTACAGTCCTGTGCTGCTGGGCTGGGCCCACACTCTTGCTTTTAAAAAAAAAAAAAGTTTACCTGTGGCCCTGCCTAGCTTAAGTCAATAGGACTGCTATATTCTCAGCAATAGCCCATTACCTGCAGAAGAACTAATAGGCCCAGAAATACAAGTTACCCTGAAGTTTCTGAAGGGACATTTTGACCTTTATACCAACCAAAGATTCTGGGTCAGAAAGAGACAGGATTTCATAGGTTCTGACTCCTTCCTAGCCACTGGAACCTTCCTTATCACATCACAAGGGAGCAAGACTTCTAGGGTGGACAACTGCATCTTCCCAATTTCAGAGTGGGGGTGGTGTCCAAATTCATCGAGTTTCAACCCCCTTAAAAATCCCGGACTTTGTGAAAAATATGCTTTTTTGTCCAGAGACAGTTCAGGTCACTCCACGGCCACACTGTACTCATCTCTCTTATTTCATTTTCCCAGATAAACTACTTGTTGATCTGTATAACCCACCCAAAACCTTTGTGTGAGTTTGTAAAGAGCCAGCTGTCTTTAGGACCCAACACCTGCCTTGAGGCCCTGCAAGCCACTTTTGGCTGCAGCTCTGAGGGCGGCAGACATGCTACAATGTTCCGTGTCTCCACCAATTACTTTACTGATTAACTCCTATTATTTTTTCTGGTTACTTTTTCAGATCTGCCTTTTCTAAACTCTTACTCAACAACTTGGCCTGAGATAATTAACAATTTCTGGTCAGGGCACACTATGATGAAATTGGAAGGTCTTGATTGGAATCCATTTACCCACAGCCCTTTATGGGGTAAGAGCCTGAGGCTTACATTTTTGGTCTTTTTGGTGGACAGACATTGTCTTATGGCAGTTGAAGGCTTCCGGCCAGGTTACTCTGACATGCCTGGAGGCTGGTAATTGTAAGTCCCTGAACACCCATGCCCTTTAGGGTAAAAAGACCACTTTGTCTTCCTTTTGCCCTCTCATCTTTACCTCTGGACCAGCAGAACATCATGGGACCTCACTCAGGGTTCAAATCAATGGGAACTCTAATGCACATTAAAGGTAAAAAGCATTTTTAATCTCTTTGGTTTAAAGTACTTCAATCTAAAACTCCTCTTCTTATACTGTATTACAGGATTACCTATAGGTTTCTTTGCTTCTTGATATCTGCCCATCTTAGGCTTGCTATCCTATTTGGGCCACTCGGACTTAAATGTTTATTCTTTCTTTTCTTTTATTTAATTTTTTTTTTTAGTTGTACATGGACACAATACCTTTTTTAATTTTTATGTGGTACTGAGCATTGAATCCAGTGTCTTCCACATGCAAGGCGAGCACTCTACCACTGAGCTACAACCCCAGCCCAGTTGTTCTTTCTTTTTTTTGTATTCTGGGATTATGTTCTTAATAAATTTCTCTCTAAATGCCAGAGTGGGAGGGGGAAAGGTAGAGAGACTGAACAGACCAGCTAAAAAAAAACTCTGGGTCTTTTCAGGGATGCTCAAGAAGACCCTTTAGGTATTGCCTTAAGGACAATATAAACATTGCCCAAAGTGCAGGTAGGTCAGCTCCAAAATTTCAGAGCACCAAGCAAGCCAACATCAGGCCCAGGAATTGGGAACGTCAGGGGACACTCACTTTTCATAGATGCTCTTTTCTATCCAGATATAAAACATTGATAAAAGGGAAAATCCCTGTTTCTTTTTCTTGAAAGCCTTTTTCTATGGTCTACCCTCTCCCCTGATCTCATAGGCTCTCATACTTTCTAAATGTCTTGATTGACTCTGATCTAATTCAAAAGTGCACTCTTGTCTAATATAAGTATTCTCTGTGTTTTTGTTTGTTTTTGATACTGATGACTGAACCCAGGGATGGTTTAACACTAACCTACATCCACAGACGTTTTTATTTTCACCCATTTATTTATTTATAATTGTAAGTGGATACAATATCTTTATTTTTTTATCTTTATGTGGTGCTGAGGATTGAACCCAGTGCCTCAGCCATGCTAGGTGAGCGCTCTATCACTGAGCCACAACACCAGCTCCCTTATTTATTTATTTATTTAGGGATAGGGTCTGGCCAAGTTGCTGGCTTTGAGCTTGGATCCTCCTGTATTGCCTCCCTGATCTGGTGTGTTTTTTTTTGGGGGGGGGGTGGATACTGGGAATTGAACTCAAGGGCACTGAACCACTGAGCCACATCCCCAGCTCTATTTTATATTTTATTTAGAGACAGGGTCTCAGTTGCTTACTGCCTCAATGTTGCTGAGGCTGGCTTTGAACTTGCAATCCTCCCGTCTCAGCTTCCCGAGCTCCTGGGATTACAGGCTTATGCCACCATTTCAGGCCTATGTATTCTTTTATTAGAGTAATTATAGCCATTTCATTTTGGGGAGGAAAAAACTCTGCTTTTTGGAGCTCCTGGTTTTTCTGGCAAATTGACCCTTGGTTCTATATGCCTATATTAATATAATTTTGTTCTGATTTGTTTTGTCTAACTGGAGTCTTTGGTTTTTTTGCCCTGTGTCTATCAAATTTTCCCCCTGCTATCTTTATTCTAAGGCCAGTTATTCAAGGGTTAACTCTCAAATTACCGGAAACTGAAAGAAAAGAGATCTTCCCCCTAAGAGGGCCCTATGGAGAGAAATTAACAGTGGTGATGATCAGAATGAATCTGCCCCCTGGAGGAGAAGTGGCCACCTGAACCTTTGATTTCAGTGTCCACAGTGGCTGACAGACTGTGCTCCAAACACCCACAGATGTACAAGCCTTCCCTGTGTCTGAGTCATATTGTAAAAGATATGGCAGGCTCTGAAGCTTTCTTTTGTCCCTACCTGTGGGAACCTAATACCTAGTAAAAAGCTATAAAATCTGTTTCCTGTATGTTTTTTGAGAGAGAGAGAATTTTAATATTTATTTTTTTAGTTTTCGGGCAGACACAACATCTTTGTTTGTATGTGGTGCTGAGGATCGAACCCAGGCCGCACGCATGCCAGGCGAGCGCACTACTGCTTGAGCCACAGCTACAGCCCCAGCCCCTTCCTGTATGTTTTTATGCACAAATTGTATATTGTTTGTTGTGTCTATATAATTGTTTACTTGGTACCACAACTGGCTCATGAATAAGTGAGTACTCAAAAGTTAGGAAAATGAATCCAGATATCTTCTAGTTCATATGACTTAAATCTTTAAAAAAAAAAAAAATTATTTTAAATTGGTTAAAAAGATAAAAATAAAATGTCTTTAAAATTACTAATTCATGTGTTTTTCTAGGTGGCCAACCAAGTCTCTATAAAATATGAAATGTGTAATGTCCATTGCTTTAGGATTTTTCTTTGATAGGAAAAGTATCTAAAATGTTAAATTAAATTTTTTTAGGATTTTTTTTTTTTTTTTAAACAGGAAAATGACCTAAAATGGTAACTGTGCTTGCCTTGATTTTCTTGGTTAAATTAGGTTTAGGGGCTGGGGTTGTCACTCAGCGGTAGAGCTGAGACATTTAGAGCACGTGCAAGGCCCTGGGTTCAAGCCTCAGCACCACATAAAAATAAATAAATAAAATAAAGGTATTGTGTCCAACTACAACTAAAATATATATATATATATATATATATATATAAACTTAGGTTTAATGTAAATGGGATAAAGAATTATAAATGTATTTGTTAGAGGAGGCATCTGATTAATTTGCAAGTCAAAATACTAAAACATCAATCGCTAAACATAAATTCTCATGTGTGGTTTTCTTTTCTGTTGATTTCTTTCTTTTTTTTTTTTTTTTTGGTACCACTGAGCCACATCCCCACCCTATTTTGTATTTTATTTAGAGACAGGGTCTCGCTGAGTTGCTTAACACTAAGTTGCTTAATGCCTCACTTTTGCTGAGGCTGGCTTTGAACCTGTGATCCTCCTGCCTCAGCTTTCTGAACCACTGGTATTACAGGCATGTGCTACCAAGCCCAGCAATTCTAATATTTTTGGATTCTTGAATTTTGTAAAAAAAAAATATATATGGATCTATGAATTGTGGGGTTTTTTTAACATATATATTTTTAGTTGTAGATGAACACAATACCTTTATTTTGTTTATTTATTTTTATGTGGTGCTGAGGATTAAACCCAGTGCCTCACACTTGCAAGGCAAGCGCTCTACCACTGAGCTCCATTAAAAATATATTTATACAAAAATTATAGGTACAAACTGGGCATAGTGGTGAACTCCCAGTTACTTGGGAGTCTAAGGCAGGAGGATTGAAAGTTTGAGGCCAACCTGGGCAACCTAGAAAGACCCTGAGTCAAAATAAGAAGGGGTAGGGATGTAGCTCAGTGGTAGAACACCCCTGGGTTCCATCATGAGTAACACACATACACAGTTATAGGGATATTTTTTGGTAAGAAAAAATAAAAAAAATAAAGGGAGATATTTCTGGGTGAAAAGCATTTCATATGATAAAGTAATATTTTTTACCTAAAGTTCAAGATGGGGGAAAAAAAGAAGAAAACAGGTTAAAAGTAAGGAGGTAAACAAGTTGTAAAATATCTAAGTTTCAAAAAGTTTGTAGAAGTTAAATCTTGGAAAAATTCTGTGTTATTAAGTAGGCTACAATTAACATATCTAAAATAATTTAAGGGGTTTTCTGTGGTCAAAATTTAGTGTACTAATATAAAACCAAAATGTTTCTATATCTTAAAAATCATAGGAGTGGAGTTTGTGGCTCAGTGGTAGAGCGCTTGCCTAGCATGTGTGAGGCACTGGGTTCAATTCTTAACACAACATAAAAATAAATCAATAAAATAAAGGTCCATTGACATCTAAAAAATATTTAAAAAAATAAAAAAAATCATGGGGATTTCTTAAAACATTGATCTGCTCTTAGTTATCAAGATAATTCATTGTGTCTATTAGGTTTCATTTCATAGAAAAAAAGTCATAAAGGAATTAGAGTTTGCTTAAGTAAGTCTTTTTAAAAAATATTTAATTTCTTTTAGTTAGATGTGGACACAATGTCTTTATTTTACTTTATGTGGTGCTGAGGATTGAACCCAGTGCCTCACGCATTCTAGGCGTGCGCTATACCTTTGAGGCACAACCCCAGCCCTAAGTCTTTTAAATGATTGCTTCATAACTCTGGTTAAATTCTTATGTTATGGGCTGGGGATGTGGCTCAAGCGATAGCGCGCTCGCCTGGCATGCGTGCGGCCCCAGATTCGAGCCTCAGAACCACATACAAACAAAGATGTTGTGTCTGCCGAAAACTAAAAAATAAATATTAAAAAAATTTTTAAAAAATTCTTAAGTTATTACAAATACATTTGATACTCTAAGTATATGTGACTAGAGTCATGTGTACATCTGAGGATTAGATATGTATATCTGAGCTTTGTCTAAATGTTATGTAAGAGTTTATGAAATTAAAGCTGTATAAATTTAATCTAAATTAGAAGAACCAATAATTGTTCTCTTCTGTACAATGTACCTTTGTATCTGGAACTTAACATGTAGAAGGGTAAATAAAACTTGGCATTTCTGCCCTTTGTATTTGGTCTGCATATGTTTGCTTTGATTGGAAAATCACTTTATTGTACATAAGAGATATACTTGTGGACTGGGATTGTGGCTCAGTGGTAGAGTGCTTGCCTGAGGCACTGGATTCGTCCCCAGCACCACATAAAAATAAATAAAGGTACATCTACAACTAAAAATATTTTTTTAAAAAAAGAGAGATATACTTGTACATCAGGTAATAAGTCTTTGTGGCTATTAGCATTGTTTCCTAAACTTACAAGAAGTCTAGAACTATCCTTTGATTTTTTTTTTTCAGTGCTACATATGCTTATTATTACAATTATCCTACAACGTGGATTCTAAAAAGTTAAAACTAAGTTAAGGGCTGGGGTTGTGGCTCAGTGGTGGAGCGCTTGCCTAGAATGGATGAGGCACTGGGTTCAATCCTCAGGACCACATAAAAATAAATAAATAAACAAGCAAACAAATGAATAATAAAGGTTAAATTATTTTAAGAAAAACTTAGTTACCATAAAGACATCTCTTTAACTATGAAGCTGATTATTACTAGCATCTTTGTATATTAAGTGTATTTACATTCTCTGAGTGTTTAAATCTTTTAAAATGTAAAGCTTAAGAAAACATTTTACCAAGCTGGTATTCTTCAAACTAAGACTGTTTATAGCAATAGTCTTTTTCAGGCTTATATAAAAATAGCAGATTTCGTTTGGGCTCTATTTATGTCATCTAATGTTTCATAACTACATAAAAGTAACTTGTTACCCATAAGTTATATAAAAAAAAATTGTTACTCTTTACACTAAGGTTCTGTCTCTTGCCCTATTCCATATTGGAATGGTCCTGGTAGGCTAAAATTAAACTTGTTTAAAGCTCTGTTCAAAAGGATTTTTAACAAAAAATAAATCTCGCAATGGATTTTTATATGTGACTAAGTTGACAAGTCATCTATGGGGGTTTTTGTTTTGTTTTGTTTTGTTTTGTTTTTGGTAGTGGGGATTGAACTCAGGGGCACTCAACCACTGAGCCACATCCCCAGCCCTATTTTGTATTTTATTTAGGAATAGGATCTCACTGAGTTGCTTAGTGCCTTGCTATTGCTGAGGCTGGCTTTGAATTCGAGATTCTCCTGTCTTAACCTCCTGTGCCACTGGGATTATAGTCATGGGCCACCTCACCTGGCTGTTTATGGGTCTATTTATTTATTTATTTAAAAGGTTCCCTTTTTTTTCAGTTGTAGTTGGACACAATACCTTCATTTATTTATTTATTTATATGTAGTGCTGAGGATCGAACCCAGGACCTCGAACGTGCTAGGCGAACACTCTACCACTGAGCCACACTACCCCAGCCCCATGTTTATGGGTTTTTTAAAAAATTTTTTTTAGTTGTTGAGGAACCTTTATTTAATTAATATATTTATAGGTGGTGCTGAGAATTGAACCCAGTGCCTCACACATGCTAGGCAAGCACTCTACCACTTAACTACAATCCCAGCCCTATATATGGGTTTTTGATGCTAGAGATTGAACCCAAGGGCTCCTTACCCTGAGCTGCATCCCCAGTTATCCTTATTTTATGACATCCCCACTAAGGTGCTGAGGCTTGCCTCAAACTTGCAGTCCTTCTGCCTTAGTCTCTCAAGTGAGTGATATTATAGGCATGTAATATCAGGCATGTACCATCCTGGCATCTCTGGGTTTTTGTGGAGGCTAAATAGTTATAAAAGATATATTAGTGTTATTAAAGTATTTTTATGTGGTGCTGAGGATCAAACCCAGTGCCTCACATGTGTGAGGCAAGTGTACACACTGAGCTACAGCCCCTAGAAGTACTACTTCTAATAGAATAACCTGAGTTAATTTGAGATAATAAGCCATCACTCATCTATAGGACAGATAGGAGATAATACTGACTCCTAGTACTAATGCTGACCTCAATTAAATGGGAGGGTAATTGTAAAATTATAGACATTAAAATTAAACCCATTATGCCCACTTCAAGACAGGTGAAACTGGCCTTCTGGGTGTTTAAAACCAAGGCTTAAAAGATCAAAGCCAAGGAAGTAAAAAGGCTAAGAAAAAAAAAATAGCCTATATTTTAGCCTTTGCTTTCTAGGTGAAACAGGACCCTGGAAACAATAGGACCCCTGTGAGGGCCCTACAACTCCAGGTGAGTCAACCAACCTGATTCGGGGGATTTTGAGAATCCTAAACAGAAAGCCAACTAATGTATGTTCTGCAAAGAGTGTCTTTGGGGAGGAAAATATCCTTAATACTACAAAGGGAAGTCACCTATGGTCAACAAGATCCTGGCAGATGGCTCACTGACAGACAAAAAAAGTGGAGGGCTTCTCAAAAGTTCTCAAAAGTAACTTCTGAGAAGTCTCAGCTTATCTGAAAGGTTGGGGGAAAAAATTAATTTTTGACCAACATAGGAGTCACGTATTTAGTCGTAAACACTCATTAGGAAAGTATAACCAAAGCACAGTCAGATATTGTTGCTTTAAAGAAGATGACAGTGATTCTTTAGTTTTAATATTTTTTAGTTATACATGGACACAATATCTTTATTTTGTTTATTCATTTTTATTTTGTGCTGGGGATTAAACCCAGTGCCTCATATGTGTGAGGCAAGCACTCTGCCACTCAGCCACAACCCCAGCCCAACAATGATTCTTTTAATGAAACTTGTGATGTATGCTTATGTCAGCCCTATCAGAAGTAAGCATAGGCTAAGAGGTCATAAAAGAAGGGTTCTTGTGTAGGAATGCCTGACAGTATACAAAAGACTGCCAGAATCACAAGTTTGTCCTAAGTCAATTTGAGCTTATTCTCACAAACTTGCCAATCTTCCTAACCTCCTACAAAGATGGACTCATTGATATATCTTGACAACTCTGCTAATAACTACAGAAACTTTTTTTTTGGTGGTGGTGCTGGGATTAAACCCATGGCCTGGAGCATGCTATCATGCTAGACAAGTACTCTACCACTGAGCTACACCTTCAGCCCCTAACTCCACAAACATTAAATGACATCCACTCATAAATTAATGCCATGTCAGACCCTACCTTAAGCTTTTATGAGCTACTGTCTTTGTAGTTTTCAAGGACTGACTGATTTAAAAAATTTATTTTTATGCTACTTATTGCAGAAAAATAATGCTTTTCTGTCTTTATCATTGTATAAGCATGATCCCTCCCTTACATATGTCTTGTCTGGTTGCCTACCAGCTGCTAGTATAAAATGGTCCTGACATCCTGATGCTAAATACCCTTAACTGCCCATGCCCCACCTGACAGTGAACAAGAACTTAAGGTCACATCTCCAAACATTGCCCCCTCTCAGCAAAAAGCAGCCAAAATGAGTTGGTGACCAGTTAGCCTAAAAGAATTAAGGGACCTAAGTCCTTGAGGGGAAAAATGTTAGGTAACAGACAGTGGTGGGAATATAAGGTTAAGGGATAATTCTATAGACTGAGCCTAATGTGGTTTCTTTTTAAAAGCATCTTATCTGCCCTCCTGTCCTGGCTTAAGTCAATAGGATTCTCAGCAAACTACCTGTTATCTGCAGAAGAAATTCAGGTCCAGAAAGTCTCCTCCCTGCAGATAAGAAGAATACAACTTACCCTGAAGGGGGGGACATTTATGATTTTTATATCAACCAATGATTTCAGGACTCAAAAAGACAAGGATTTCACAGATTTTGGCTCCTTCCTCAGCCCTGGAACCTTCCATATCACATCAGAAGGGAGCAAGACTTCCTATGTCCAACATCTGCATCTTCCTGATTTTGGATTGTGAAGGGTTTCCAAATTCAGTAGTTTGAAATCCTTTAAAACTCCCTGGCTCTGTGAACAGTATACCACCCTCTCGGGAGGTATATGCTTATATCGTTATGCTTATCTCTGTTATTTCATTTTCCCAAATAAACTTCTGCTTGTTACTCAGACCAGCTTGAAATCCTTCCTATGGGTTCACAAAAAACTGGCAGTCTTTAGGATCCAGTGCCTGCTTCATGGCTCCACAGCTGCTTTTCAGAGCAGTAGCTCATGGAGTGGTCTGGTCCCACACTACAACAGTGACACCAAAGACCTTCATTCCCTTCTAGGCTAGTAGTGAAGCAAAGGCAGAGCTCTGTCACAACAGTGAACCTACTTTGGAATATTGGGGTGATAGTTGGACCTGGTGAACTTGGAAAGGAGGAAAAAATCAGTTAATAAATACAGCTATTGAGTGATTTGTAAACTACTATGGAGAAGGCAGAGGCTATAGACCTGGGTTTGAATTCCATCTGAAGTGGATTCACTGTGTTTGCTTTGGGTCACCAAATAGTTCTGGGTGTAGAGGAAGCAAATTTATCACATTGCCTGGCTTTTCATCCGCCTGGACTTCCATACCAGAGGCAGAGATTTAACAATCAAATCACAAAAAGTGTAATGCTAACAAAGAGTATATGGTAGCAAAGCAATAGTTAGGAGACAAGCAAAATTTGGTAGTCTGGCCGCCTGACTTTGAATATTGACTGTGTCTATGACTTTGCTTCTTTGTGGTGTCACTTCTGGTAAAAACAGTAATCTTACTGGACCAGGACCCTAGGCTTATGACCTCAATTTAACTGTAAATACTTTGAGAAAAGCCCTGTCTCCAAACACAGTCACAGTGAGGGTTAGGGCTTCAATGAATCAATTTTAAGAGAACACATTCAATTCATAACAAACTTCTAAGCACTTGTGAAATTAGTTTGAGCAGTATGCAAAAAACACTTGGAATAACATCTGGCCCATAGTAAGCTTGCAGAGTGCAGTGGCTCGTACCTGTAATCCCAGTGACTTGGGAGGCTCAAGCAGGACTGCAAGTTTGAGACCAGCCTCAGCAACTTAGTGAGATCCTGTCTCAAAAAAGGGCATGGGATGTAGCTCAGTTAACAAAGTTACCCAGGGTTCAATCCCCAGTCCCAGTAAATAAATTAGCTTGCAAGGAGTGTTCAGGTGACACCATAAAAAATTAAAGAGGGGATGGGCACTGATGAGCAGGAGAGGAGTGTAGAGAGCATTAAGAAAGTGGTCATAGCCAGGCATGGTGGCATACGCCTGTAATCCCAGCAACTCAGGAGACCAAGGCAAGAGGATTGCAAGTGCAAAGCCAGCCTCAGCAATTTAGCAAGGCCTTTAGCAACTGAGTGAGACTGTCTCAAAATAAAATAGGGCTGGAGATGTGGTTATAGCAACCCTGGGTTCAATCCCTGGTACGGGGGCGGGGGGAAGGTGTCAAGCTAAGCTTACTTAAGGAAGCAATAGGGAATCAAGACCTAAAGGAAATCTAAGAGAGCTACACAACAATCCTGGGGAAATAGTGGTTCTTATGAGGGAGCAGCTAATGCAAATGTCCTGAGGTAGGAAAGAATTGAACTCTAAGATGAAGAAATGAGGCAGGGGTTAGATGAATCAGGGCTTATTGATTGTGGGAAAATATTGGTCTTCATTCTGGGATCAATGTCATTATTTGACTATAAAAAGCTTGAGGGAATAAAAACTGGTAGTAATAGAGCCCAGCCCAGGAGTTTGAAAACTTGAGTTTGAATCTGGACTCCTTGACGAGATATGAATCCTTGTGAACACTTCCTCGCCGTGGGTAATGAGTTCCCACAACTGTTTTCAGAGGTATAGTAAAAATGCTTCTCTCCTAGGAGTGTGTGAAGACTTAAGGATGTGTGCCGCATATTCCTATGTCCTACCCCAAGCTCCCTAGGTGGTTATTCTGATGTAGGTGTATTAGTGTTCTGTTGCTGTTATCAATATACCTGACCAAAACAACTTAGAAGAGGGAGAGTTTATTTGGGCTCATGGCTTCAGAGGTTCAGTCCATGAACAGTTGGTTTTATCATTCAGGGCCCTAGGTGACGCAGAACATCATGGCAGAGGTTAGCTGCTCAGATCGTTAATCCAGGAAGGAGAAGAAAGCAGGGAAGGGGCTTCAAGGAAGAGGACCCCTTCCATGACACACACCCCAGTGACCCACCTCCTCTAGCCTTATCCTCCTGACCTATGATTACCATCAGTCAGTTCATCCAATCTAGGATGGATTGATTAGGTTACAGGTGTCATAATCTGATCATTACAACTCGGAATACTCTTGCATTAATTAGCACAAGAGCTTTGGGAGAATACCTCATATCCAAACCATAACATAGGGGTCTTTTAAACTTCACTTGGAGAAACATCACTCTAGGGAGTGATAGGAGGAAGAGTCCTCAGTAAACAGGGAAGTAAGAACATAATTCTGGGTTTTCAACAAGCCCAGCCTACCTGGCTCTCCACTCTTCATGGAGCTGGGTACCTATTGGGACCAACCAGGCACTTCCTTACTATTTCCCTTGGGAAGTGCCTTAGGTGGGATTTACCCCACCCCAGCAACTGGTCTTTGTTTCACAGAAAGACTCAGAGCTGTCATGGACCAGAATGGGGCCAGAGCTCAGAATCAGTAGGCTGAGTACTCTGACAAAACAGGTGCTGGCTCTGGTCTCAAGGAAGTTCTGTAGGGATGAGAGAAGATATAGGTACAATCTGAGCTCAGGTTGTACCTATGAGCTCAAGAGTTCTGGTCCCTGTGGGGCTGGCCCAGGCAATAGAAAGTCTGGGAGGTTCCAGATCACTAGAGCAAGAATCTAACAATTTAAAACAAGTTAAACACCTGGGTTAAAGTCGATGTTGCCTGAGTTACTAGCTGTGTGACTATGGGCAAGTTACTTCACTCTTGGAACCTCAGTTTATTCATCTATAAAATGGGGACAGTACTCTATCAGGAAGCAATGACAGAGTTAAATGAGGTAACATTCTCAGCAAAGTGTCTAGCTCTGAAAAGACTGAACAATTGAGAGGAGTAATTCTTGTCTCATCCAATCCTCACCAAACCCCATGAGGTAAGTACTATTTTTACCTCCATTTTTCAGATGAGAAAACTGAGGTTCTAAGACATGCAGTAAACCACACAAAGTTTGCATCAGCTGGGAAGTGATGGAGGCAAGATTTGAAGCTGGTCATTCTGGCTTCAGAGGCTGTACACTAAGCCACAATGCTGTATTGTTCCTCTGAACCTTGGTTCCTTTATCTGTGAAAAGAATTTTTCTCATGGTGTTGACATGAAGGGTAAGTGGGTTAATGCATGTAAACAGAGCTTAGGATAGTGCCTGGTATTTGGCAAGTGCTTAGTAAATGTGCAAATGTTGTACTACTATGTGCTCCCCATCCCCAGTCTGCTATCATTTTTTGAAAGGGGGAAACTTTATCAGGCAGATTCTCCAGAGATGGCCTGATAGGGATAGTGAGTGCATCATCCAGAGATGAGGAGGGATCCCTGGAAACCAGGAGGAATTTGAGCCATCTGGTAAGGCTAGAATCCAAATCCTTTAGCTCACCTTTAAGCCTTGGAATTCAATGAGAAAAGTGAACCAAGCTGAGGGTTAAATGGAGTTGTGTGATATTGGGGCCAAAGGGAAGGTGCAGAACGAACCTGGGGAAGCAGGCCTCAAGTGAAGGATTGGTGTGATTTGGAACAACCAGGAAAAGTCTGGGAACTGGCATGGTACAGAAGCCATGGGAATTTCTTTAGTAGGACACAGGGAGCATCACACAATACCTGAGGGAGAAGACTGGCTGCATGGGTGAGGGGCAGGGCAGTGAGTAGGAATTAGGCAGTGTCTACAAAGAGAAACCTTTCCTAGAATAAGGGTCCCTGAGCCTCTTGATATTTCTCCCAACACCCTCTTCGGTCAGCTCCATCCTCCTCAATCCCAGTGTCATAACTTAGAAGCCACCAACCTCTGAGACATACAGCAGAGGAGGAAATGGGCCTAAAAACAAGCCCTGATGTCACTGAGATTTCATAGTAAGTTACCCACAGGGCAGAAGTAGAGCCTTGGCACACCTGGCTCTCCCTTCTGGGTCTCACCCTCCCCACCCCCAGCTGCAGCTGCTGAGCTCTCTTTAAGTGGATCTGTTATAATCCTCTTCCCTTCATCCTCCCGGGAGGATGAGCTGGTGTTAAGACCAGTGCAGCTGTTAATCCTATTTCCTTGCAACCATGATCCCAGGAGCAGCTGGATAGATGGTATCTGGGCTCTGGACCAGAAATTAAGGACCCCAACAAGACCTTTTGTTCCATGAGGCCTCACTAGATCAGAGAGAACTCAGAAAGGTTTCTAACTGCTAGCAGTAGCTCAGGTTGCCTGTAGAGAGAAAGATCCCCATTACCAGAGTTATGAGAACAGGAGCCCAATAGGGATTCCAGAGCAGAGGGTGGACCAGGATTCCTGTCTGGGGTGGAGTCCTTTGCAGCTGTGCAAGGCCAGAATTATCTGAACAGTTGCTTCTCTGCGAGTTAACTAACTAGAGAGGAAAAACAACACACATATGGGGGACCTATCTCTTCCAGGCAGTGCCAACCACCACATTTAGCTCATTGGCTCCTCCCTCTTCTAGGCCCAGTACTGTATTCCTTGGGCCTTTGGAGAACTTTAAACCACGCCCACTCTGGTTACCCTGCAGCCTTCCACAGGACTCTGCATCTTTGAGTCCCTCCGAGATGGATACCTGGTTCATTCATACCCTTAATGAGCAGATCACAGAGGAAACAACAGACTATCAGAATTAGGAATGGTTGACAGGGAGGATATGGGAGCCCCATGGTTTGGGCAGAGTAACCAGGTGGGAAATGCAGATAAGTTAGGGTTCCCTCTGAAGCTTTGCTGAGGAGAGAGACCTTAAGGAATAGAAGAAGAATGTGGCTTTGGTCTAACCTTGCTTCTCTTGCAGAGAAGCCCTGCCCGCCATGGAGGTGGAGGCTGCAGAAGCCCGATCCCCAGCCCCAGGCTACAAGCGCTCTGGCCGACGCTATAAGTGCCTGTCCTGTACCAAGACATTTCCAAATGCTCCCAGAGCAGCACGCCATGCTGCCACACATACACCTGCAGACTGCCCAGAGGAAGTGGCCGAGGTGAAGCCAAAGCCAGAGTCAGAACCCAAGGCAGAGGAAGCCAGTGGAGACAAGGTGTCAGGCTCAGCAGTTAAGCCTCGGCCCTATGCATGCCCGCTGTGCCCCAAGGCCTACAAGACTGCACCAGAGCTGCGCAGCCACAGTCGAAGCCACACGGGCGAGAAGCCCTTCCCGTGCCCAGAGTGTGGCCGCCGCTTCATGCAGCCCGTGTGCCTGCGGGTGCACCTAGCCTCACATGCTGGTGAGCTGCCCTTCCGATGTGCACACTGCCCCAAGGCTTATGGGGCTCTGTCCAAGCTGAAGATCCACCAGCGCGGTCACACGGGAGAGCGGCCCTATGCTTGCGCCGACTGTGGCAAGAGTTTCGCGGACCCTTCGGTGTTCCGCAAGCACCGGCGCACGCACGCTGGGCTTCGACCTTACGGCTGTGAGCGCTGTGGCAAGGCCTACGCCGAGCTCAAGGACCTCCGCAACCACGAGCGGTGAGCTGTTTGTCCATGGGTGGGAAAACCATTGCCACTGCTGTAACCAGTGGGGCCTGGGGTTGAGTTTCAAAAAACAAAATGAGTCAATGGGAAGGTGGGCCTGGGCACGTGGGCGAAGTTGGTGTCCCTGGTTAGAGAGGGGATGGGTTTGGGGGACAGGGCAGAACACCTGGAGATGGAACCCTGAAGGAAGATGGCATTGGATTGGCCTAGCAGGTAGGACACAGCTGGAAAGGGGCGGGGTGTTCAGTGGAGCCTGGTTGTGCATAGGGCCTGGTCCAGGGCTCTTTGGTGTGCGTCTGAAAGTTTCTTTCTAGGGTGGAGCCCTGTGTGACTCCTGGGGATTGGGAGGAAGCCCCCCCAGGCCCCTCAGTTAGTCTAGAGAGACAAAAGGATTCTGTCACCTTCCTGGGTCTGTCACCTTCATGTCTGGTCTTCCATACTCCCACAGGTCCCACACCGGTGAACGACCCTTCCTGTGCTCTGAGTGCGGGAAGAGCTTCTCCCGCTCATCTTCCCTCACCTGCCACCAGCGTATTCATGCGGCCCAAAAGCCCTATCGCTGCCCGGCCTGTGGTAAGGGCTTCACGCAGCTCAGCTCCTACCAGAGCCATGAGCGCACTCACTCTGGTGAGAAGCCCTTCCTCTGCCCACGTTGTGGCCGCATGTTCTCTGACCCCTCGAGCTTCCGGCGCCACCAGCGGGCTCACGAGGGTGTGAAGCCTTACCGCTGCGAGAAGTGTGGCAAGGACTTCCGGCAGCCGGCAGACCTGGCCATGCACCGGCGGGTGCACACAGGCGATCGACCCTTCAAGTGCCTGCAATGCGACAAGACATTTGTGGCATCTTGGGACCTCAAGCGGCACGCTTTGGTGCACTCTGGCCAGCGGCCCTTCCGCTGTGAGGAGTGTGGGCGAGCCTTTGCTGAGCGTGCCAGTCTCACCAAGCACAGCCGTGTGCACTCTGGTGAGCGCCCTTTCCACTGTAACGCCTGCGGAAAATCCTTTGTGGTATCATCAAGCCTCAGGAAGCACGAACGGACCCATCGAAGCAGTGAGGCTTCTGAGGCTACTCCCCAACAGGAGCTGGTAGTGGGACTGGCGCTGCCTGTTGGCGTTGCGAGTGAAGGCTCTGCCGCCCCAGTAGCAGGTACAGGGCTAGGGGACCCTCCAGCAGGACTGCTAGGGCTGCCCCCAGAGTCAGGTGGTGTGATGGCCACACAGTGGCAAGTGGTTGGCATGACTGTGGAACATGTGGAGTGCCGGGATGCTGGTGTTGGGGAGGCTCCCAGTTCCTTGGGAGGGACAGGAGAGGTGGGAGGTGAGGAAGTTGATGAGAAGCCACCACAGTTTGTATGTAGAGAGTGCAAGGAGACCTTCACCACCCTGACATTACTGCGAAGGCATGAGCGGTCACACCCAGAACTCCGGCCCTTCCCTTGCACCCAATGTGGCAAGAGCTTCTCAGACAGGGCTGGGCTGCGCAAGCACACTCGCACCCACAGCTCTGTGCGCCCCTATGCCTGCCCCCACTGTCCCAAGGCTTTCTTGAGTGCCAGTGACCTTCGCAAGCATGAACGCACCCACCCTGTACCCATGGGAACCCCCACACCCTTGGAACCCCTTGTGGCTTTGCTAGGAATGCCTGAAGAGGGGCCAGCCTGAAACTGGTGGCTCTCTCTACCACATTCCCTGGAGCTCAGCCTGGACAGGGTGCCTCCTGAACCGATTTGTACCCAGCTCACTCCATAGACTCCAGATCCCTGCCCCTAGGCAACTAGCTCACCTGTTACCTAAGAGAGCTGGGGATAGTGGAGACCAGCAGCATCTGTGACAGGGTTCTCTCTGAGTAACACTCATTAAAGCATTCACTTTGACACTGGGTTGTCTTCTGTGTTCTGGTTGGGGGTGAGTGGGTTGGGAGTTTGGGCACCAGATAAGATCCAGTGATGAAGCCTGGCCTGACAGATTAGAAACTAAAAGGGCCTTTGGATGCCTCATATCCTAAAGTATGTTTGGGGATGTATTATGACAAAGGATTCCCTGGCCAAGTACATACAGGAAATTTCCTGTGCCTTTCTTGGGAATCCTTGGTTATTAAAAGTTGTATTAGATTTGTGGGGAAGGGGGATATTAGGGATTGAACCCAGGGGTACTCTACCACTGAGATCCCCAACCTTTTTATTTTTTAATATTATTTTTAATTTTTTTAAAAAATTTTTTTGAGACAGGGTTTTGCTAAGTTTTGCTGAGGTGAGGCTGGTCTTGAACTTGAGATTCTCCTGCTGCAGCCTCCCAAGATAGTAGACTACAGGAATATGCCCCCATACCCAGATGATTAAGTTTTATTAAAAGGCATTAAATACTGCAATGAGTAAATCTATTTAGCTTTGTTTAGCCAATACTTATGACCATGAAACTGAGTAGTTCTCTTATCCTTTTATAGATAATAAACTGAGGCAAATATTATGTTAGAAAGTATACTTGGAGGAAAAAAGGGTTTCCATTCACAACAAAACCATAAACTACAAAGGAATAAATCTCACAAGAAATGTTCAGAACCTATAAAAGAAAATGATATATCTGGCCTAAAGGACAAAATTTAAGTAAATGGGTACATACTATGTACCTGAATGAAAAAAGTCATTATTAAAAGATGTTAATTCTGGGGGCTGGGGTTGTAGCTTAGTGGTAGAGCGCTTGCCTTGCATACATGAGGCCCTGGATTTGATCCTCAGCACTACGTAAATAAATAAAAAGTTAAAAAAAAAAAAAAAGATGTTAATTCTGGGCTGGGGTTGTGGCTCAGTGGTAGAGTGTTTGCCTAGCATGTGTGAGGCACTGGGTTCGATTCTCAGCGACACATAAAAATAAATAAATAAAGGTAATGTGTTCATCTACAACTAAAAAAAAAGTGTAAATTCTCACCAGGTGTGGTGACACACACCTGTCATCCCAGTGGCACTGGAGGTTGAGACAGGAGGAGGTGCTAAGCAACTCAGTGAGACCCTGTCTCTAAATAAAATACAAAATAGGGCTGGAGATGTAGCTCAGGGGTCAAGTGCCCCTGAGTTCAGGCCCATACCAAAAAAAAAAAAAGTTAATTCTCCGTAATTTAATCCTTGAATTTATTGCCATCCTAAGAACTGTTTTAACAGAATTTGAAAATTTGTAGCTCATATGCAGTGGTGTGTGTGTGTGTGTGTGTGTGTGTGTGCTGGAGTTTCAACTCAGGGCTTCAAACATGCTGAGCACATACTTTATCATTGAACTACATTCCCAGCCCATGATACTGTTTTTTTTGGTTTTGTTTTTAAATGGTAGAGGTGGCATATTTGACATACTAGATAATCAAACACCAATACACTGGAGTAAAAACACAGGATATATATATATATATATATATATATATATATATATATATATATATATATATATATATGTTGTAGATGGACACAATACCTTTATTTTATTTATCTATCTTTATGTGGTGCTGAGCATTGAAACACAGGACCTCACACATGCTAGGCAAGCACTATATCACTGAGCTACAACCCCAGCCCAAAACACAGGATATTACTGGCACAAAATCAACAAATGGAGTGAGAAAGAAGGTTTAGAGATAGCCTTGAATATTTCTGCGAATTTAGTTTATGATCAATGTAATTGTTTGAATTAGTGGAGGGGAAAGTGACTAATAGGTTTCCTTGAAAGATAACTAATATGAGGCCCTAGGCTCAATCCCTAGTCTCTAAGACTGCAAAAGAAAGGAAGAACGGGGGAAAAATGGCATGCAGATACCACATATGCTAGTCAACAGATAACCTTGGGTAACCAAGGATAACATGGGTCTCACCTACGTTTAGGAAAGATCCACAGTTCTTAGCCCAGACAACCCACTCCTTTTCTGACACTCCAGGTACTCCATATCCTAGTCCAAGCTCCCTGAGGACACACACTAAGAATTATTTTAACAGCTTCATTTAGATGTAATTCACGTACAATAAAAATTTACCCATCTAAAGCATACAGCTGTTTTTCACTTTATTCACAGTGTCAGGCAGCCATTACAATCTAATTCTAGCATACTTTTATCCTCCTAAAAGAAACTATACCCACTATTGCTTATTCCTTATTCCTCCCTGCCACAATACCACAAGCCCCAATCAATCATTGATCCACCTTCTTTCTATGCATTTGCCTATTCTGGACATTTCAAGTAAATGTGGTCTTTTGTGACTGACTTCTTTCACTTAGCCTTATGGTTTCAAGGTCTACTCATTTTGTAGTTTTATCACTACCTTATTATTTTTGTCAAATAATGTTCCATTGTATGAATATATATATTATTTATCCATTCATTAGTTGATGGATTTGGGGGTTATTTCCATTTTGGGCCATTGTGAGTAATGCAGCTATAAACATTTCACATACAGATTTTTGTGCAGATGTGTTTTCAGTTCTCTAGTATATATATTAGGAATTGCTGGGTCATATGGTAACTCTATGTTTAACTATCTGAAGAAATGTCAGGCTGTTTTCCAAACTGGTTTACATTCCCATTAGCAAGGTTTGAGTGTTCTAATTTCTCTACATTTTCACTAACACTTGATCTTTTTTTTTTTAAGAGAGAGAATTTTTTTTTTAAAGAGAGAATTTTTTTTTAATATTTATTTTTTAGTTATCGGCGGGCACAACATCTTTGTTTTTTCTTTTTTTGTATGTGGTGCTGAGGATCGAACCCGGGCCGCACACATGCCAGGCGAGCGCGCTACCACTTGAGTCACATCCCCAGCCCGAGAGAGAATTTTTTTAATATTTATTTATTTTTTTTTAGTTTTCAGTGGACACAACATCTTTTTTACTTTTTTTTTAATGTGGTGCTGAGGATCGAACCCAGTGCCCTGTGCATGCCAGGCGAGTGTGTTACCGCTTGAGCCACATCCCCAGCCCAATACTTGTTCTTGTCTGTCTTTTTTATTACAGTTATTCTACTGTGTGAGAATATCATGATTTTGATTTGTGTTTCTCTGATTGCATGTGATGTTGAGCTTATATATTTATTGGTCATTTAGATAAATGTCTAGTCTAGCCTATTTTTTTTCTTATTTTTTTTAGTTATAGATGGACACAATATCTTTATTTTTGTTTTTGTTTATTTTTATGTGGCGCTGAGGATGGAACCCAGTGCTTCACATGTGTGAGGCAAGTGCTCTGCCACTGAGCCACAATCCCAGACCAAGTCTAGCCTATTTTTAAATTGGGGGTTTTTGTCTTTTTATTGGTAAGAGGTAAGAGTTCTTTCTGTGTTCTAAGTACAGTTTATGATTTGTAAAATGTTTTCCCATTGTATGAGTTGTTTTCACTTTTATGCATGCATATGCGTGTGTGTATGCGTGTGTGTGTGTGTGTGTGTGTGTGTGTGTGTGTTATGTGTGTGAACTGAACCCAGGGACACGCTACCACTGAGCTGCATCCCCAGCCCCCTTTTTAAGTCAGGGTTGAGTTGCTGAAGCTGACCTTGAACTTGAGATCCTCCTGCATTACCTCCTGAGTTGCTGGTATTACAGGCATACACCACCATGCCTGGCTGAGTATTGCCATCTTAAGAATATTAGATCTTCTCACCCATGAGATGTTTTTTTCATTTAGTCAGATTTTTTTTTTTTTTTTTTTGGTACCAGGGGCACTTAACCACTGGGCCACATCCCCAGCCCATTTTTGAATTTTATTTAGAGACAGGGTCTCACTGCTGGCTTTGAACTCTCAATCCTCCTGCCTCAGCCTCCCAAGTCACTGGGATTACAGGTATGCACCACTGTACCCTACTAGTTAGATCTTTAATTTCTTCTTATTTTTACCTTTTAATGTAGTGCTGAGGTTAGAACCCAGTGCCTCACATGAGCGAGGCAAGCGCTCTGCCACTGAGCCACAACCCCAGCCCAGATCTTTAATTTTTTTCAATAGTATTTTATAGTTTTCAGTATATAAATTGTATACTCCTTTTGCTAATTTTATATCAAAGTGTTATATTTCTTTTGTTGATATTACAAACTGTGTATTTCATTTTTGGATTGTTTATTGCTAGTGATGAGAAATACAATATATTTTTGTATACTATTCTTGTGTTCTATAGCCTTGCTGAACTTGTTTATTAGCACTAATGGTTTTGTTTTTTTGTTTTTTGTTTTTTGTTTTTTTTTGTGTGTGTGTGTATGTCCCTGAGAACTTTCTGTATACAAGATCATGTTATCTGTAAATGGATCTTCCTTTTCAATCTGGATGCCTTTTATTTCTTTTTCTTGTCTAATTTTCCAAACTAAAACTTTCATATGTGTTAAATAGAAGTGGTGGGAGTAGATGTCCTTGTTTTGTTCCTGATCTCAGGAGGAAAGCACCCAATCTTTCACAATTAATTATGATATTTGCTGTGAATTATTCATAGATGCCTTTTGATAATTAGCACATCGAGGAAGTTTCCTTTTACTTCTGTTAAGCTTTTTTTTTAATTATGAAAGCATTGAATTTTATCAAATGTATTTTCTGTGTCTATTGAGATCATGTTTTTGTTTTTGTTTTTGTGGTAAACTGGGATCAAACCCAGGGCTTTGCTCATGATAGGCAAGTGAGCTACAATCCCCAACCTGTTTTTTCTTTATTTTACTAATAGCCTGTATTAAATTAATTCACTGTTTGATGTTAAACCTACTTTATATTCCTAGGATAAATCCCTCTTGGTCATGCTGTATAATCCTTTTGTCTGTATTGCTGGATTGGTTTGCTAGTATTTTGTTGATGATTTTGTGTCTGTATTCTTAAGAATATTGATCTGTAGTTTTCTTGTGATGTCTTTGTCCAGTTTTGTTATTTGGGTAATGCCTAGACAGTCTGACTTCTGTCCCTCACTATTCTGCCCCAACTTCCTTTAACCCCCAACCCCCATGTCTTACCAGGCTTTCCCGGGTGGTGAATACATCTGCTACTGGGACAATCACTGACATGAATTCAGTCTGTACTTTGGACTGTGGTCATCATCCCCTCTCCATCCAAACGGCTAGATAAATCAGGGCTTGCCTAAGGCCTTGGGTTTAATACCCAGCTCCCCGCAAAAAAGCTAGGTGCAATGGCCCCCATCTATAATCACAGCTATGCAGGAGGCTGAGGTATGAGGACCACAGTTCGAGGCCAGCCTCAGAAACTTAGACCCTATTTCAAAAGAAATAGGGGTATGTAACTCAGCAGTAGATGCCCTGGGGTTCAATCCCCAGTACTGGGAGGAAAAGAAGAAAGATAGAAAAGATAGAGAAAAGAAAGAAAAAAATGGGACTCCTCACAGGAGAATGCTCTGGGATTAGGGCTGAGGAAGAGGTAGGGAAGGCAGCAGGCTCCGCAGGCAGGACAATTATCCTGGATTCAGAGATTTGGAGACCAGTTGTGGTCTATTGACACACAGCCCACTCAACAACTCCCTCCCCTAGAGACTGCTTTCCGGCAGTCTTGGCCCCAGCTCTAACCTCATTTTCCATCTACTCCTTCCATCTCATCCAGCCATCACAGGCTTCTGTTGATTTCTTTGTTTCTTCCCAGCCTTGGGACCTTTGCACTCACCATTCCCTGGGGATGGAACCCACTGCCCTACATTTGTTCATGATGTTCTTCCCTCTCAAGCTTTAGTTCAAATGTCACTGTATTAGGTTTCCATTACTGCATAATAAATCACTACGAATTTAGCAGCTTAAAACAATACCCATTTATTATCTCAGTTCTGTAGGCCATAAGTCCAGGCAAACTCTGCTGTGTACTCTATTTAGGTCTCACAAGGCTAAGTCAAGGGTGTCAGCCAGCCTGGGATTTTATCTGGAGGTTCTGGTGTAGAATTCACTTCCAGGCTCATCCAAGTTATTAAACGAACTCAGTAACAAGCTGGGCCCAGCAGCACATGCCTGTAATCCCAGAGACTGAGGCAGGAGGATCACAAGCTGGAGGCCAAGCCTCAGCAATGCAGTAAGACCCTCAGTAACTGCAAGAGACCCTGTCTCAAACAATGAAGAGCTGCAGGTACAAATTAGTGCTAAAGTATGCCCTGGGTTCAGCCCTCAATACAAAAAGGGAATTCAGTTCCATAAAGCTATAGAATTAAGGTTTCTGTTTCTTTGTCAGCCATAGGTTGTTTTCAGCATTCAGAAGATGTCTACATTCCTCCATCTTGGTAGCCATCAAAGGCACATCAAGTTTTTCTCCTGCTTCAAATTCCTGACTTTTCTGCCTTCCTCTCTGTTGTTAGTTGGAGACACTTCCCTACTTTTAAGAGCTCATGTGATACATCAGGCCCACCTGAATGATAATCTCCCTGTTTTAACCTAAGTTAACCTGAATTAGTAACCTCAATTACATCTGTAAAGTCACTTTTGCCATATGAGGTAATATTTGGGATTAGAGCATGGAATATTCAGGACCATTAATTTATGTATCATATTTTATCCTCTAGCCCTCTAAGATTCATGTCTGTCCCATATGCAAAATACATTCCTATCAAAGTCTCAACCTGTTACAACATCAAGTCAGAGTCCAAAAAATCTCTTAGCAAACATCCCAAATCTTATATAGATCAGATACAGATAAGGGTCTGGGTACCTGTGAAATTAGGGAAACAAGTCCTGAGTGGTGTGGTGGCAAATACCTGTAATCCCAGCTATTTAGGAGGCTGAGGCAGGAGGACTGCAAGTTTGAGGCCAGCCCTGAGCAACTTAGCTAGATTCTGTCTCAAAATTTAAAACAAAACAAAACAAAAGTTGGTAGAGTACTTGCCTAGCATGTGTAAAGACTTAGGTTCAATCCCTAATACTGCAAGAAAAGAAACAAATCCTGTGCTTCTGATGGACAATAGTGGGATAGGCACAGGATAATGGTTAAGAAAGACTGGCTCAAAAGAGGAGACAGAAAGTCAGGAGTTACTAATCCAAAGCAATTTAAAAATCCACATGGGAAATTTTCTACAGGTTTCCAGGACCAGGAAAAAAAAAAAAATCCTAATGGGTTTCTGCCCTTTACGCTCTCAGTTTCACCCTTTGGATTAGTCCCCTTTCCTAAGAACCATTCATGAGTACCTGCTAGAACAGCTGTATCCAATTTTTTGTCATATCACAATGTTATGTTAATTTTTGTTTTCCATCACATTCCATAATGCCTAGAACATAGGTCTTGCTCAAAAAATATTATGAATAAATGAATGAGTAAATGTGGTATGGAGGGTTGAATAACAGTCCCCCAAATATGTACATGTCCCAATTCCTGGAATCTGTGAATGTTAACTTCTATGGCAAAAGGGACTTTGAAAGTGTAATTGAGCAGCTTAAGATGGGAAGAATGTCTTGGATTATCTGTATGGGCCCTATGCAATTACAAGGATCCTCCTAAGAGGGACACAGAAGTTAAGAGAAGATGGTGTGAAACTGAATAGATAGATGTGCTCTCCAATGAAGGAGTGGGCCACCAGCTAAGGAATACAGGAAACTACTAAAAGCTGAAAAAAGCAAAGGACTGGATTCTCCATTGGAGCCACCAGTAGGAAGCAATTCTGCTGACACTTTGAGCACAGTGAAACTGATTTTGGACTTCGGACCTCCAGAACTATAAACGAATAAATGTATGTTGTTTTAAGTAATTAAGTTCATGATAATTTGACATATCAGTAATAGAAAAATAATACAGTTGGAGTAACACAGTGTTGGCTATAGCTGCTAGTGGTCCCCAATATCTCTCCCCACCTTTTGGAGTAAGAGAACTTTAATTTGGCAAAAAGCTGCTCAGGGTATAAAGATTATATTTCTCAGCAATTCTTTCATCTGGGTGTGGCCTTGTGACTTACATTCTATCCACTGAATCAGAGCAGAAATGATCTGTACAACTTGAGTCATGCAATTTAGGGGAAACTGCAAGCCATCCTCTTCAAGTTCCTGCCTTCATAAGGGCGGGACTGTGGAAATGGGTGGACCATCTTGGGTCCAAGAAGGGATGAAAACAAGATAAAATGAACCCTAGGTCTTGATGACTTTATGGAAAGACCCACCATACTACTAACTTGGACTTTAAAAAAAATTTTTTTTTAGTTGTAGGTGTATTTTTATTTATTTATTTTTATGTGGTGCTGAGGATCAAACCCAGTGCCACACCCATGTTAGGCAAGCACTCTACCACTGAGTCACAACCCTAGCCCCTAATTTGGACTATTATATGAGGGAAATTTCTAACTTAAGGCACAGTTATTCTGGGTCTCTATTTCATGAAGCTGTCTCCATACTATGCAAACGAATGTAGGATTCCCAGTTACTATCCATTATGTTGACATTGTTTTGAAGGGTGGATAGCTGTGGAATTAAGGCAAGTTTAGGCTTTACTTTTCTTTTTTTCCTTCTTGCAGCTCTTCTGCAAGGGTGCCACCATGGTCTTAGGATATATGTGAGGTTGATGTAATGCTAGAAGATCTAGGCCCACCCTATATTTGACCTCTCCACTAGGATAGGTCCATACTACTTCCTCCAAGTAGTATGGTGGGTCTTTCCATAAAGTCATCAAGACCTAGGGTTCATTTTATCTTGTTTTCATCCCTTCCTCCAAGGTTATTTTTCTCATCCACATGAGCGGCTGCCACTAGTTACAAAGAGCCAGTAAGAATCAAGAAGCTTCGTTGGATAGGACCTGAACAGGGGGAAAAGGCTCAGACATCATAATATCACTAAAGTTCATTATGGTATGCAAATTATCATAGTGATGGAAAAGGAGAACCAAGTAGAGGAGGCTTTAAAGTTTGTAGGGAACTTTTATCAATCAGCCAGGATCAAGTTTGCTTCAGTAACAACAATCCAAGTATCTCAGTGGCTCACAACAACAAATACATATTTCTGACAGAGTATAACTCGGTGTCTTCCACAGGACAGCTACCCTTCTGTACCATTGTGTGTATGTGTGTGTTTTGCTGGGAATTGAACCCACAGCCTTGCACATGCTAGTTAAGTGCTCTACCACTGAGCTACTTTCTCCTAAGTCTATGCCATCTTTATTCCAGAATCCAATCTTAAGGAACAACTCAATCTGGAACTTTCAATCTCAACAGAGAAAAATGAGGAAAGGTGGCAGACTCTCTGATGGCTCTTTTTCTTAAATATATTTTTTGGATGTATGGACCTTTATTTTATTAATTTATTTATATGTGATGCTAAGAATCAAACCCAGTGCCTCACACATGCTAGGCAAGCACTCTACCACTGAGCCACAGCCTCAACCCTGTGATGACTCTTTTTTTTAAGCATTTTTAAAAATTTATTTTTTTAGTAATACTTGGACACAATACCTTTACTTTATTTATTTATATGTGGTGCTGAGGATCGAACCCAGGGCCTCACATGTGCTAGGTGAGCACTATACTGCTGAGCCACAACCCCAGTCCCCCCACCCCCACGATGACTCTTTTTTAAAAAATTTATTATCATTATTTTGGTATCAGGAATTGAACCCAGGGGCACTTAATCACTAAGCCACATCCCTAGTCCATTTTTTATTCTGAGACAGAGTCTTGCTAAGTTACCTAGGGCTTCACTAAGTTGCTGAGACTGTCTTTGAACCTGGATGCTCTTGCCTCAGCCTTCCCAGCTGCTGGGATTACAGGTGTGCAACACCATGCCTGGCCTGTGATGGCTTTTTTTTTTTTTCCGGTATATGTCATTTCCACTCAAGTTCCATTGGCTAAAGCATGCCATATATCCAAACGTGACATTAGTGGAGTAGGAATAATCTTTCCATGTGATTGAGCCCCATAGAAAGTGTCAGTGAATGTTTTTGAGCAATTA